TTTGCTCTCAAACCTATCTAATTCCCATTAGAAAACATACTGAAGCGCTGCTTTTTAAATTACAATTACAAATTGTTTGTGCATGTAAAATAATACGCATCCATAAACAAGAGTTATCTTTCCATTATTGCCCTTGAAAATATTTTTAATAAAACAAAATATTAATTAAATGTTTATAAACAATACTGCATCTGAAATTTCTGTACAATTAAAAGACTTATACTTTAAGAGATAGAGATTTCTCAATTTACACTGTTTAAAGGAACTGAGTATAAATGTTTTAAGTAAATTATTATAAATAATTAATGTACATACTAGCAATAGAAACTATAAATCAATATTTGTACCATAGAATAAGTTTGTTTGAGTTGACTATATAATGGTTTCCTTGAGTGAAACTTGTAAACTCTGACATGACAATTCACTGAATTTCATGACAGAATGTCTGAAGAAAGTTATCTCTCTTATCAGAAGAGTTATCTCTCTTATCTCATTTATCTGAATGTCTCAAACTGAAGCTTGATATCGAAATCTTTTCATGCAACAATTTTTTTTCATACCTTTTAATATAATCCAAAGTAGTTTGATTTTTTTAAAAGTTTGTTTAAACATCTCTCTAGAAAAGGACAATTATTATAATCCATTGACATTTTAAAGGCAATCAAATGTTCTTTAAACTGCTTATAATGTCTATTATGGCATGGAATTTATCTGGTAATCATCTATGGTATCATATAATATATAACTAAATAACATTCTGTGAAATCAAAAATTTGCATGGGGGTTTAATTTTCTGTTTTCGACGATAGAGAGACCCCCAAATTCATGTCTGACCACCACAAAATGTAAAATTTAATTTGCATTATTACTCAATACTTCTCCAACCATGGAATAAAATCCCCACATATCAATATTTTTTCTGACAAACCTTGAAAATTTGCACCCAGGGAAAAGTCATGAAATGACTCAAAGACGCCTCATTAAAAAAAAAACCCATGGTTTCACCAATGGTTCATCCAGAGCTTTTACATGTATTTCAGCACTGTAGGATTAAAGTGAATTATGTTTTTTTTTGAATGGCTCCTCTCATGAAATTATACTATCATAATAAATAAATTACTTGCATATACTTAGGAATCTACAAAGTACATGATATATGCCAGATATTGCATCCTTATTGAAGTCTAGAGATATTAACTAGTGATTTCCTCAATTCTTGCCAATTTTGGACAAATAGTCATTGTAAAATGACAAATGCACTGAGTTTGAACACTCAAGGTGTTGCAAAAGATTACAATGCAGCACAAATAAAATAAAACAGGATTTTTTAGTTTAATTTGAAATTTAAAAAGAATCTGAATGCTAAACCTTATTCATAGTGTGATACACTATGAAAGTATTCATAAACCTCCATGCATGAAAATACCAGTATAAATTAATGTGATTAGCATGTAATCAATCAGATCTTTCATTCACAAACTTGTCATAAATATCACAAATATCATTATTGGAAAACCTTAATGGCACAAGCAAAACTGGCTAAAATACAGGTACATCACAGATAGCTGCTGTTTATAACAAAACTTTGTCTAATTAATGCTGATAAAATGCATTAGTCCCTTATGACACCAGATCATCATAAAATAAATGCATTTCAGTATTTCCTATTTTTAAATTATCGAAATAAATAGGAAATACAAGCTTCACTACGAAGACATCAGGAACTCTGGTACTTGAGTTGGAGGATTTTCCACTGTATATATATGTAAATGACACCCTCTAAGCCTTATTATTCCCACAAAATCTTCTTCACACATTGTTTTCCGAGGAATCATTCTCTGTATCCAGATCTTCCACCTCTTCATCTTCCTCCACATCCTCTTCTTTATTACCAGCTTGTCTCTCGTTCTCCTGCTTGTCGTCCAGGAAAAATTCCACATTTTCTTGAGATTCTGGTTCAGCCACCTGAACACTCCCTTCTCCACTTTCCACATTCTCCACATTCAGTGTATTACTCGAATCTTCCTCTTTGAAGTTTGTCATTTTAAATCGAGCAGCGTCCTTCACTGCTCCTCTTCCACCAGGCACAGGAATCTGAGTTCTGTAAGTTTTTATGCTCTGGAATTTACATTTTGTAAACGACATGATGCAGTGTAAGTTTCCTCCGATTTTCTTGGCTTTTCGGCGCTGCATGCCTTTCTCTAGTCTGCGAATATCCAGAAATTCAGGATTGACACAGCCAATGTCTGTCACAATATCAGTCCATCTGTCAAAAGAAAATGTGTCATGTTTCTGAAGAAAAAATTACAAAAGACAAATCTATGTTGAAGATACAAATGTTACAGAATTCGCTTTTTACAGTATGTGGAAGACTGATATTTTGATAGTAAAAGATCAGTTGTTAAAGATTCTACATTTTACTATGTAAGGGGGAAAGATATCAGATTTACAGATATTGGATACAGACTATGCCTTTTAACATGTTTAAAGTGTATGGGTGACTGATATTGCTTGTTACGGATATCTTTTGTAAAGGATTCTACCCAAAGCAAGTGAGACAGATATAATGTTTACAGACTTTACCTTTTACAATACAAGGGAGATAAATATCAGTTATTAGAGAAATTATTTTATTTTGTAGGAAGACTGATATCATTTGATACAGATATCAGTTTTAGACTCTACCTTTTACAGAGCATAGCTGACAGATATCAGTCATTACAGATATCGGTTACAGGTATTACCTTTTACAGTGCATGGCTGGATGTCCACTGGCAGGGTCTCCTATCAGGACCCAGGTGTTCAGATCCTCTTGTGATAGTCCACCCCTACATATAAAATTAAAGTAAGAAACAAAAAAATTAAACATTTAAAACTCTGGTGGTTAAAAGTTTAACGGCTAACAATCTATTACCTGGTAGTTTACAAATAAAGCATTAAAAAATTAAACCCATAACTTTTCTACATTACACTAAAGTTACTCCAGCATGCTAGAGGTTCACAGTGAATAACTTTCGACTTGGTGCCATATGGTATATAAGGAGCTAAGGAACATTAACTGAGGCTTTTACTAGTAGGAATATGCTGGAGTATGCTAAAAATCTTACCCATAAGCCTCTGTACACTTGACGGGGGTATCCTCGAATCCTATGGGACAGAAGTAGTGGTTCTGGCAGTGGTAGATGAAGGCAGTGGAAGGGTCTTGGAGGCCCTTTTTGAGGTGCCCCAGGGCCTCCTCAGGCGAGGTGCCATACGTCTTGTTCTTTCCGTGACTTTTATACATGAAGTAAGCCCGACCCCTGACCTTGAAATGGTCATTTAAGACTCTGAACCACCTGTAAATTCACAGAGTAATGAAATAAAGTAATGAAATGTTCATGTACAGTGCAGTGTAATCCATACTCTGCCAATATCTTAAAAAAAACTTTTTTAGATAACAAAAGTTAGAAATTTTACATACCAGTAGTTATTACATTTTACACTGTATGACATGAAAAATTAATTAAATGTTAATCTATAGCTAGAGTCAAACCTAAACAGAGTGGCATTGCCAGTAAAAGGTCCAAATCGAATCTCCCCAAACGGAGGCTTGAATCCCAGGATTGTCAAGGCTTCCTCCTGAGTTATAGGATTGAGACTGAAAAAAAAGTAAATGGTTACTGACATTAAATGATATTTCATTTTCAATCTTGCACCAATGGAATCCTAACCATTAATACACACAGTGTTATTTGTGTAACAATGTTAGGAATAAATAAATTGTCTTGCAAAAATCTCAAGTTCTATGACAGTATAATAAAATTTCCATTTGTCTGGGATCAGGGTACATTGATCATAAGGAATGCATAGGTAAGAGGAATTTATCCATTCTCTGTAATATACAAGTAATGATTTCATACAAGCATTTTATAGATACCAACCAGATATTGTAGAAAAAAATATGCATGCAAAGACATATGTTGCTTCTATATTAATTAAGCCAATTTAATTTTCTACATATTTCATTTTTTATAATAATCGTAATATTAAATGTTTTTATCATTTCAAAAATAAACATTAACCAAATTTATCCCCCACCCTCCTTGAAAAAAATGAGGAAACCTTTTCTGTATAAAAAGATTATGAATTTTGTGACACACATTATAAATATATGATATAAGTAATGATTTTCATACTGGTTTCCTACTTACTTTCCATTGCCAAGGGTACTGAAGAGGAAATTCCAACATGACACAAGGGAGGTAATCCCACAGGACTTACTGTACTGAGGCCGGCTGACACAGTTCCTAAAAAAAAATAAAGGGAACATAAATATCACAATTTAATCAAGTGACTTAAAACCATACGGAACAAACATGATTTTCATCAAATAATTTCTTTTGATTTTTAGAAATTCTTGAAAGTAAAATGTATGTTAATGTAAAAAAGTACCATCTACATGTACCATAAAATAGGTGCATCATCTTACCATTAATTTACCATTCAATAGGTATATGATCTTAATATAGATCTACTATGTAATACGTTTAAAACCTTGCCACCTACTATGTTTTATAATATATATGACCATGTAATGTAAATAATCTTACCCATGACTTAAACAATTGAACATAGGTAAAGTAATACTTATATACTGTACCTGCCTCACTAGTAAGCTAGCTTATCTAGTATTGTGGTCGAGTCTAGCTCTATTTCAGGCAAAATAAGCAATAGTGAGCCTGTTCAACCCTTGGATACGTGACTGCTTCACGTTACAGTTGTAATGAATGTATACACTTACCATCGTTTTTGGTCCAGTACTTTCCTCGCTGAGATTTCAGCAGCTGTGGCCGTCACTTTTGGAGGAACGAAACTTTCGTAAGATTCATCTGTTTCTCTTGGTTGTAGCTGACTAGTAAGAACTGAAATGATTATAAACCAATGTCAGTTTAGTTTTGTGAAAATTAAGTGTAACTTCAGCATCCTTCATTATGTGCAGGCCCTCTCTGTCCACAAGCATAATGCTAAAACATTGCTTTGATTTTTACTTTTGATTTTTACGACAATGTTTAAAAATGCCTCCCATATATTTTTAGGGCTGCATTTATTTTTATTCATGACTTTACTTTCTCATCAAATGGTTTTGGTCTAAGCATCTAATCAATTTTAATGATTAAACAAAGAAAAATATGAAATACATGAACAATCTTATTAAATTCATAAAATTCTTAAAGTTTCAAAAGTAACATGCTAGATAATGTATATCAAAACATAAATACCAAAATTGCTTGCATCATGCACCACTTAATGAAGTAATTTTCAAAAATGAAAAAAAAATTGAAAAAAAAGAACCAAAACTTCAAGCATGCAAAACAAAACAAACCGGGTCGCTTTGCCGTCCTGCCGTGCGGCAGAAGGTCGGAGACGTCCACCTCCCAAGCAAGGTTACCATCACCGTTCTGAAGGTCATTGGAAATACTGGGATATAAAGAGTTAGAGTTACCAGGAATCTGGGAACTCCCGTCTCTAATGGGTGGCAAGCGGAACGGCTTTTCCTCCGATTTCAAATATCCAGAATTATCTGGCGAATCTCCCACCTGCTTAGCACTGTTGGATTTTCTGATTTCTGAGTTTTTTGATGACAAGTTGGCAGATTTTCTGACTTCGGCAGTGGACCCAATGTAAGCGGGGTTGCTGTATCTGTTTTCAGGAGAAGGGATGTTGTTTTCCCCAATCTTTGGCAATCTCTCTGACTGTTGGGTCTGTCTTATATGACTTTGTAATTGTGAACTAGTGGTAGTGCTTTCTACTGAAAGTCTTCGAGTTAAATTTCCTGTGAGAAAATTCAAAACAAATTGTGCAAGAAAACAAAAAAAGCTAAAACATGCAATTATTAAATAATTTTTTTTTTAAATTCCTTCTTTAGAATTCAATAAAACACCTGTAACAGCTAAATTATGTTATTTTCATTCAATGTTATTTCAAAATATATTATTAACTGACTGGGTATAAAGACTGACATTATAATGAAAAGTCTTCCTTACATTGGCATGCAGTTTGCAATATATTTTCAATTTACAATAATCATTGGAGTCAAAGAAGTTTTTCTCGTAAAAAAAAAAAAAAAAATCCGTGGAAAAAATTTCCACCTTCAACTACAAAAGTTGAGAGTGGAAAATTTTTTCCAGGTTTCTTTTTTTTGAAAAAAACTTTAGACTCCTGTGCAATAATACAAATACCTTAAGTTCATTTTATGCTTAAACCATAAATCCCGAACCTTGGAACCTTACCTAAACTGGTCTGTTGCAGCAATCTAGTCCTTACCTAAATCAGCCTGTTGCAGCACTCTAGCTGTGTCGGTAGCTGCCTGGAAGTTTTCTGTGGTCACATGATGTAGCAGTTCCTCAACCTCCTTCACGAGTTTAGCCACAATACTAGCATCTATCATTGTGGGTGGCGGAACTGCAGGCTAATGGAGGAAAAATATATTCTTTAGTGTGTACATGAATTGTATGCAAGTCTTATCGAGAGGGGAAAAGTTTACTCGTTGTGCATTGCTTTATAACTATTTTTATTTAATATGCAATTTGTCATCCATTAAATCAATTCCACACAAACCAGTAACTTTTTCTTCTGATAAAAAAAATTTGGCCTTATAAAAATTTGTGATTTAACAGTATATCCTCTATACAAGGAAATTTTCACTTCGGAATCTGTTTTACTTTAATTTACACCTTGCATTCTACTCTTTTTCAAACAGGGCGAAATCAAAGAACACAGTTAAATTTATGAAACAAAACCAAGACTGAGCAAATTTAATATGGGGCAAAATTGTTTGCCTGAGTTGAAGGGCAAAAATAACACAGAGTAAAATAACCCTGTATACTGTATACAGTATGACAACAGAGCCTGGAGATTTTACCTGGGGAGGAGGGAAGTTTTCACTTGCATCAAAAAATTCCTCTTCTTCTTCCTCCTCCTCCTCCTCCTCATCGTCAGAGTACGGCACAAACTGAGGACAGCTGTTACGATTGGTCGATACCCTGGGCTGGTCCTCGGGGCGAGGCTCATCGGGAGGGACGGGAACCAATCCAGACAGGGACTTCCTACTGGAGTTCCCCATCGATCTCTAAAAGTATAACCAACACTTAATCCAATTATCAGGACAGGAATTAATTAATAATGCATTCATTTATCATCACATAATGTTAAAATTCCTAGGAAAGCCATACATAAAAATTGAGATCTACTTTTTATGCATTTTATACCTATCGTCCAGAGGAAAAGCAATCTAGTTGATGAAAAACAGGATTTAATCAATACTTGTGACAATATATATGTAGTAAAAGATGGATTATTCATTCAGTTAGTGAAATAAGTTTACTGTTCATGCTAATTTATTTGCAGGCTGAAGAGACAGCTTATTCTGATTTGATAAAATAGTGAAAATTCTATAATATCTATTTCTGATCCAATGAATCATTATCAGAATACAATCATGCTAATTATAAGTATTAAAAACAAAGTCCTGGTTTATACATAAAACAAAGTAGCAGCTGGGACTTGAAACTTTAAAATAGCAATTAATAGAAAAATGGTCCTTGTCGCTTATCAAAATAAAAATTAATGCACAGAATTATGAACCTTAGAGTATTCTATTTGTGTGCCAAGTTTTATTGAAATTGGACCAAAACTGTAGGTGGAGTAGCATTTTGAAAGAAAAAAAATTTTTAGTAACCATGGCAACATTTTCCACAGAATTATGTTATTTAGTGTAATACTTGTGTGCCAAGTTATATTGAAATATAAAATAGTAGCATTTCACAGAAATTTCTATTTTTAGTAACCATGGCCACATCGTTCAGCGAAATCAAAAACCAATGCACAGAATTATGTAACTTAGTGTAGTCTACTTGTGTACCAAGTTATATTGAAATTGGACCAAAACTGTAGGAGGAGTAGAATTTTGAAAGAATTTCACAGAAATTTCTCTTTATAGTAACCATGGCAACACCGTTTATTGAAATCCAAAACCGATGCACAGATTTGCGTAACTTAGTGTAGTCTACTTGTGTGCCAAGTTATATTGAAATCAAACCAAAACTGTATGAGGAGTAGCATTTTGAAAAATTGTTTACAGACAGACAGACGGACGGACGACGGACGCATTACTATCGCATAAGCTCTTCCCATCAGGTCCAAAGTCCTGTGGAAAAAAAAACAACTGAAACTTTTTTGCAGGTAGTCAGTAATTCATGCATGAAACTTTGAAGATGCTTTATAAAAAAAATATATCATAAATGAAAGTCTGAAGATGCTTTGTAAAAAAAAAAAATATCTGAATTTTCCACATATACTAGCATTTTAGATAGTATTGCAAGATTATAATTAAGTACATGTATTAATTGTGTTAATTATGTGTGAAATCAATAAGTAATCACTTGGTTGTAGACTGTTTATGTTGATGTGAAGTTATATCAAATCAGGTCCATGCTGCGGGTCAAGGTCGGTCCCCGCAAGGTTGTCTTAAAATAGCTATTCGAGTTCTCCATGATGTTCACTCAAAAATCAAAATCCTCAAATTTCTCGTACTGCTTAATTTACATACATTGCTGTCTGGAATTTACACCCAATGCTGGAATAGTCATATTGATTTACTCACTGACTTGGCAGTAAGTCACATTATTCCATCGTGGAAAGAACAGCTATGTAAAATTCTCCAAAATTTAGAATGTCCATCCAAAATATCTGCATCATGTCAAAGGTTTGCATTACCCTATTTGTTTAAAATCAGTCCATTTCAAATATTCAGATGCTATCAGAATTTTGCATTATCATCCATAGGTAGAAGCAGGAACAGTTTCAAAGTCTCTGATTCCATGGCTAAATATTTCAAACAATGCAGCCTATATAAAGACAGGTAAGACAAATATACCTGAAGATTCCTCAGACAAAGTCTCGTCATCTACACATAGGTAATAATATCAGGGGTCCATTGTGGCATCTTTTGTGATTGCTTTTAGCATACTCCAGACAGCAGTTTAAATAATTAAGTCATGATTTGCAATTTAAATTCCATCTCGGAGAATGAGATTTTCAATGACTTCAGCAAACATCCATGAATTAAGAAGAATAAAACCATGCAACACTGGGTTAGAAAGTGAATAAATCTTCAGGTCTCAGGGTAGATATTGTATATATCACACAGCAAGCTAAGGTGTTACAATGTTACGTAAAAACAGGGTTACAACACACTCTAGTAAACTGCTAAATAGACATAAACAATTTATAGCTCATTAATTGTTGTTAAGAAATGTCACGTGAGGTTTAAACTGAGAGATAGCTGCTCTGGGATACAATTGTTATTTTAGACAGGTGTACACCCTTATAAATATAGATATACCTTAGAAATCAACCTCATGCTGATTGTGGATTCTTAAAACACGGCACTTTGGTTCACAATCAGCTGTACTGAGAAAAAATGGAGGCTTTATTCAATAATTGGAATTAATTTATCATCATTGACTGAAAAACCAAAGAGAGGAGATTTATGCTACAATGTACAAATTCAAGCATTTAATCATCTGCTTATACAGTAAAGAATGACTTTTATGTGACACCTGGTGCAAAATCAATAGAAAACAGCAATCCCTATCTGTAACAATGCTGACTTGTTACACCTCTTAATGATAAACGAACATAATCTTAGGCTCGTCTTAACGTATATATGCATTAGTCAATCACAGCAAAGTCAGCACGCAATTTCTTAAAGTATGAACAACTGATGCTGCATTGTCTTATCCTGATTAAATGTCAAATAGCATTTTACAGAGGTAATCAAACGGCTTCACTTCGATCATCTCCTTTTACAGTGTGTTCCTTCTATCTAATCAATACATGGAGGCTCACGGAGGGTGTGACCAGACAAGGGGATGCTTTCTTCTCCTTAGGCATCTGATCTTTCCTCTAAAAATATCAGGAGGGGACATGTGTTTTTATGCCCTGTTTATACTGTTTGTAGTTTTGGGGTGGGGGGGGGGGGCAATCACTGTTTGTTAGTCAGTGTATCAATTTACTGTTGTTCATTGCAATGCGTAGACAACTACACATATAGAATATAGGAGGAGTTTTTATCTTCAAAGTACATATGGATAACTTTTTTAAAGTTAATGTTAGGAATGTCAGCATTAAGTTTAATGAATCAAAGAAACTGCAAAGTACATAGGGGAAGCTTTAACATTTAGTAGAGGGAGCATACAAGATTTAGTACAGTACTATTTGTGTTAAACATCAAGGGTATATATGTTAATTGAGACTACCTATGAGACATCAAATGTTTCTGTTACCATCAATACCCCCCTCACCCCCCCCCCCCCCAAAAAAAATTGTATTTGTTCTTCATCTTTGGCCCAGTCCCTCAGGATATATCTCTCTGTATTATCAATGACATAAAATTTTACCGGACTTAATTCGAGGAGTTCTAATTTGTACCCCTGTATACATTAGGCCCAGAGAGTCCTGAACACACCCAGTTAATCTATATATATACCCTACAATTCCTATTACCAGCCTATGTTGATAAGTACCCTATGTTTTAAGGCCTCCTGACAACAAGCCTGAAGACAGATTACACAGATAGTGGGACTGTGGGACTTTAAATATACATGTACAGTCATTCAACAATCTGAACTTAGACAAGCCAGATAATACCATGTTTTGAACGGCAAATTCTAGTTTATTCAATTTCAAGAAAATCAAAAATAACTTAATAAATTGAATTTTAGTTTTTTTCTTTAGAACAAAAATGGAATATGTTGTATGTTTTTTAACCATTTTACCTCTGTCAGAGTTAAATGCAATCCATAATATGATTTATATGTGTAACACTGCATTCCCTCCGTGAACTTCCCCCATCAATACCAAGACACTGTCATTTTGACACCAAAAAGGAAAGGTGAATTAACAATTGGAACCTGCATTTGTTTTTAACGGTTCATTGAAGATGAAATCTGATTAAAGACTTTAGTGAACTGGATATGGGTAGCAGAGAGTGTGTCAATCATGTTCTATCATAGAACCGCCAGGCTATTTAAATGTAAAATATGTACCAACTGTATTCAAATCTGAACTTGGTCATTCAAAAGGATTTATGATATATCTTTAAAAGGAAAGCAAGTATGAAGGTTAAATAAAAAGTACAGGCACTGGTATATATATTAAGTGACAGAAGAGTGAATTTTAACCCCTGTCTTCTTAAAATTCAATATCCTTCATAAACAAAGTAACATTTTTATTTCAATCTTCTTTGATCTCCATAGAATTTTATTTACACAGTCTAAGAGTCACCCACTTGGCGCAGTGGTAGAGCGTCTGCTCTAGAGTCGCAAAGTAAGGAGTTGATCCTTACGTCGTGGGTTCGAATCCCACTGTGGGACATCGAGACCGGTCCTTCGGATGAGACCGTATAAACTGAGGTCCCTTGTCACAGTAGGTGCTGGCACGAAAAAGACCCCTCACTGCTCAATGGCCCTGAGTGCCGAGTATAGGACAAAATTTGTAGCCCTGCACCATCAAATCGTGGCATTTCCATCTGAGTGAAAAATTCTCAAGAGGGACGTTAAACAACAATTACATAAAATCAATCACAATCAAAGAGCACTTTGATTTCACTCAAGAACACTGTTCTTTATACCATTTAAAATTCATGCTACTATTCAACTTTTTATGCACCTGGATCGATAGATCGGGGGTGTATATTGTTTTTGTCTTGTCCATCTGTCTGTTGTCAACTTTAACTTTTGCCATAACCTTTGAACTGTGAGAGATAGAGACTTCATATTTGGTATGCATACAACACTAATTAATTTCTTTAAAATGACACCAAGGTCAATAACCTTGTGACCTTGATTGTGACCTATGTGCTAAAAATAGCTTTTTGGAATTTTGTTGCCACCAGGCACATATATTGTTTCACAATCGCATCTTGTAATAATACTCGATACCTCAAATAATCTCCTGAATACCTGCAACATAATAGTATCTGTTATGTAATATAATGTCCTGTAACAATCTCTAGAACTTATGTTACCTGTAACATTGATAAGATACCTGATATATTATTTAAATGATACCTATAACAGTCTCCATTACTTATGTTACCTGTAACATTATATATATATACCTGTAGCAGTACTTTTACCTGTTTCATCTCCTCCATCCTCCTTGTGTATATGACTTATATATGACTTATATATAATTATTGATCAAGATGAAAGGTGACATATCTGACTCAGTTATTGTTAAAGTTCCATCGACCAACAAATCAATGGCTTACAGCTCATAAACAACACTTACCTGAACAACTCCCATCACCTCATGTAATGCTGCAAATTTTGTTTCGATTTTAAATTTATAGTTAAAGGCAATGTCTAAGTATGTAGATACCACTAAACATGGATTATATAATGATAGACATCAGAGAAAAATAATAATAAACTTATTTGAAATAAAATTACTGAATTCAGGCAATGGCAAAAGTTGTGGTAATTTAGTACACTGTATATACCCTATTTTTGATCGAGCTGTCAATGCAAAATAATTGTTCTCAACATAATTAATTAAATCACTCAGCAGAGGAAAGGCCTAGTATTTAATGTTTAGTTCATTAATTATCATTATGCATTTTCCATTAATATAAAAAGAAAACTCACACACAGATTTGTTGTAGAGTGTGTTAAGGGAGATAACTCTTCTGAATGATTTTTGGGAACAAGTCATTAATTTAACAAACTTTAGTTTGCAAACAAAATGTAAAAAATGCAAATACATGAGTAAGAAATACAGAATAAGCAAATGCATTTGAAGAATATCCAACACAGAAAACAAAGCATAAAACAGATCCATGCCCCTCAGGTGTACTCAATGCTATCAGTACTTGATAATGTACTCTACATGTATTATATACTCTGATGCTTACCTTCAGAAAAACCTGTGTCCCGCTCGTCACCTTCCGTGTCTTGAAATCCCAGTTCATTAAATTTCTCATGACAGTCCTGTTTACATATTCCTGTAGGAAATCAGCTGTTAGTGGAAGTGTTTTTATTATTCTCCTTTAACAGGTACCCCAAATTCAAACAGCAGTTGACATGGTTCGTGCATAGTTGTGGAATTCATTCTATAGAAAAAAATTGATTTTTTTTACAGAGATAGAAATCTATTTCTAAACTTTTCTAATAGCCCAGTTGATATCGCCTATTCAAAAGGAACTGGGATTTAAAGGTGGGAGAAAATCCTTCAATGAATAAAACACAAACTATAAATGCATGTACATGATTTGATTTATATATCATACAAACAAGAATTCTAAATTGTAAGGATTGTTTTGCTGTCACTAAATATATGATGATTTAAAGAAGTTTTGTACAAATTATTTTTAATTAAAAACCAACTTCATCTAGCTTGTAGTGGGAGTAATAAGCTCATCTACCTAAATAATTGAAGATAGTATACATTGATATTCATTTACCGCAGTACACATGTACATTGCATTATGCAAATTCAGCAGCTATACTGTTAAGAACTTGGGGACAATAAACTAAAATCACTGAGCTTAGTCTTTTAAAGCTGTAATGATAAAATTTTTAATTCATTTATTTTCACAATCTAGACATTAAATTGAAACATAAATTTCCATTCATTGACTTTTTCCCACAACCACAGTTTTACATACTCAGTACTTCACAGAAACAGGTCCTGTTTATCTTACAGGTCAATTTACAAAATCAATCAATAGAGATTTATTACAGTGTGAACATGGTCAGGTTTCGATTTAAATACCCCAGGACCGTAAACTCAGTGCACCAACAAACTGAATGATAAATCCTTTGCATAATATTCAAGCCCGTTTTACATCATAGTTTTTAAAATGTGTGCCTCTGAAAGCTGCAGAACTGTAGGATTATGATATTTTAGTCTTTGACCATAATGCTGCAAATACCAAAATGAAAATAAATATAATGTGCAGTCTATTGCAAAAGATTTTCTGTGCATGGTTGGTGAGAATTTCTCCACTTTCCAAAATGATAGACCCAATGTATGACTGATTGATTGCATGTATATTGTTTAACATCCCTCTCCAGAATTTTTCACTCAAATGGAGATCCCACAACTTGCCAGTGGAGAGCTATAAATTTTGTCATATACTTGGAACTCAGGGCCATTGAGCAGGGAGGGATCTTTTTCATGCAGCACCTACTGCGACACAGACCTCGGTTTATATGCCATTTAGGTCTTATCCAAAGGACAGGTCTCCATGTCCCACTTTGGGATTCGAACTCGCGACGTAAGGATCAACTCCTTATTTCAGGACTCTAGAGTAGACGCTCTAACTACTGCGCCATGCTGGTGACTCGACCCATGTAAGTTGTATACAAAAGTTCACTTCAGTATGTGCAACCTCTAGAAGAAAATGAACATGCAAATACTGCAAATAATTGGAATTTTTCTTAGACCAAGGGGCATAACTCTGTCAAAAATTGCTCAATTGTACCCAAAACAGAAACTTGACCTAGATACTCATCTAATAAATCTGTATATCAAATTTCATTTCAGATTGCATGTGCAACCTCTGCAAAGGAAAAAACGGAAACTGATCATAGACTGTCAGACATACAGACAGAAAGAGTGACCAACAGACACTCACTCTACAACAAAGCAATATGCCTCTTAGAGTCTCTTCTTTAACGAACAATTGTATTGCCATGCACTGTTACAGTAAATCAGTTATGAATTTATATGAAAACTTTCTATTATCCCCAAGAGGAGTAGTTTGAAAAAAAAAACAACAGCATCTCAATAGAGAATACCAGATCAGTAGATTATATAGATAAGACATACTTTGTGCCACTTTATCTAAATGCTGTTATATCCATTTTCATGTTGATAAACAATTAATCTATTAAAATAACTTAAAAATAAGTGTAACCCAGTCCGAATCTTAAATATGCTCTAATGTGTTCGATATATACTCTGGTAATTTATAAAAATACATGTACCTAAAAAAAGAAACTGAAATAAGTCACCTTTTGTTAGAAATTGCATGCTATCACATTCTGGAAAACCATACAAGAACATTAGTCAATATGAAATCTTCAGACCCTGAATGTGCCATGGATTACTTATCTTCATTCTGAAATTTTGAGAGAAAAAAATTACTTTAAATCTTCAAACAAAAAACTAAAAATGGGACAATTTTTTTTTAACTTACCAAAGATACAGAGTATCTAACATTATTTTAGTTTATATATAGGGTGGGTGACGAATTTTTATAAACTGTTTGTTTTTCGTAATTTTTCGGTTTGATGGTATGGATTACATCACAAATATGTTACTTAAGGATAGTTTAACAGGTCGAGGAAACTATTTTCCGTGACGTCAGAATAAATTTACATGCTAAATGAGATACCCACGTGACTGACAAATCGACCAATCCGCTGAATGACTTGGGTTACTATACACCATACTACGTTTGGAAAATGCCAGTTTTTTCAAATCGCTCTCGGAAAGACATGATGCATCTTTTCAAGCATTTTTCATTCTTAACACAAAGTTTACATCGTTATCTACTAATTCCATGCTCACATTTACAAACAATACACTAACAACGATAATATTGTGACTTTCTCCGCTCCATTGAATGTCTATTTGTGGACAATGGCCTGTACGTATTCGATGAATCACGTGTATTCCATGCTCTTCAACAACCGACTCCGAGATGTACTCACGTAGTGTCATGTATACAAGACTTCCGATGGTCATTTAACAGTTTAGAATGGTGTAGAGATGCTTTAGTGTAAAATTCTATCATTACTTGTTGCAATGCTGTTCAAGCGCCTATGCTCCTTCGAAAAAAAATCTGAACATGGGACCGACAATCTTCTTGACAGAAAACACATCCCAGCAGCTGCACTTAATTCAGCAAAACTTTACAGACTGTGAGATTCACGTAGATCTATTTGCACTGGGTGCTGCGTGTTTGTTTTTTTTATATATATCAATGTACGTAGTGAGACTTAAATAGTAAAATTGAGTAGAATAAACGTCATAACGCAATGTAGTTGAGTTTTAGAATGTATGAGCCTTAAGTCAACAAATGAATTAGAACAGAAGCAGATAGTAAAAATACGAATATCAAGTAAAAAAAAATATTTTTTATTACCAGTGAAGAGTTTGTGAGCGGTATTTCAACGTACTATTTAACACAGAAAAGTAGCTTTGTTTGCTAATGTGAGCATGGAACATCTTATTTACTATGTATTCTTTCTATTTTTAACAAAAAAATTAAAAATACATATTAGTTAACTCTTCGACAGGCTTTTGAAATCATGTCGTAAATTGACCTGAACCACGTGTTTGAAGTTAATTGTAAACACATAGTAGACCAGCATGCTTTGCGGCTCATTCACTGGATTGGACAATTGTTTGTTGGTAGCACCTCTGTGCGCAATAACAACAATATCCATATAAGGTAGTTTCCTCGACCTGTTTAAGAAAAAACAAGAGGCCCATGGGCCAAATCGCTCACCTGAGCACTGTGGCTAGGAAAAAGTAGCAATTGGTTTAGTATTGAAAAGTTTAAATTCAAAAATAGTCCCATGACCAATCATGGCTTTGCTATTCTTGAGAAGATGCTTTTTAAAGAATTTTCCCATATATTTTTATGTAAAACTGTGTTCAGCCATTTTGGCTCCGCCATATCCCCGGGGGTCATGATTCCATAAAAATATGATCAATCATGGCTTTGCTATTCTTGAGAAGAAGATTTTTAAAGAATTTTCCCATATATTTCTATGTAAAACTGTGGACAGCAATTGTGGCTCCGCCCTACCCCCGGGGGTCATGATTTAAACAAATTTGAATCTACGTATACTACCTGAGGATGCTTCCATAAAAATATGATCAATTATGGCTTTGCTATTCTTGAGAAGAAGATTTTAAAAGAATCTTCCTATATATTTCTATGTAAAACTTTGGTCGGCCATTTTGGCCCCGCCCTACCCCCGGGAGTCATGATTTAAACAAATTTGAATCTACACTACCTGAGGATGCTTCCATATAAATATGATCAGTTATGGCTTTGCTATTCTTGAGAAGAAGATTTTTAAAGAATTTTCCTATATATTTCTATATAAACTGTGGTCAGCCATTTTGGCCCCGCCCTATCACTGGGGGTCATGATTTGAACAAACTTGAATCTACACTACCTGAGGATGTTTCCACATAAGTTTCATCTTTCCTGGCACAGTGGTTCTTGAGAAGAAGATACCACCAAATTTTCCTTAATTCCCAATTATCTCCCCTTGAATGAGGGCATGACCCTTCATTTGAACAAACTTGAATCCCCTTCACCCAAGGATGCTTTGTGGCAAGTTTGGTTGAAATTGGCCCAGCGGTTCTTGAGAAGAAGTTGAAAATGTGAAAAGATTATAGATGGACAGACAGACAGAAGACAGACAAAATGTGATCAGAAAAGCTCACTTGAGTTTTTCAGCTTAGGTGAGCTAAAAATCGAAAATGCCCGGGGCTCTATATTTTTTTTTTTGGGGGGGGGGGGGGGGTCCTGTCCTCAAGCACCTGTGAATAAGGCAGATCAGTGATTAGATTTTTAATAACACCCAGGCTGATGTGAATAAACTAATCTTTAAAAGCAAATATCCTTAAGTAATGTACAATAAGGAAAGGTACATCTTCTTTTCTTTTTCTCCTTCTCCCTCCGCTAGCTTGACTTAGGCTCTCCCTCCTCCTCACCAGGATGAACAAAAAGCAAGGAAAATTCCGACCCAAACCTAAAACAAAGTACATATTTTAAAAAACATTATTTCATACTTTAAATTGATTTGTTTTTTTAAACGTTTAGGCCATTTCAATTATTCATTATTATTTTTTAAAAATATTTTTTGCCAACGCTGTAGCAGACGAACTTTCTTATTCGGGAATTATTAACTTGTTCGAAAAAACTCTAATATTTTGGTTGGAAGCTTGTTTCCCGTCTAAACCCACGTTGAAATTTTTTATGTAACCTTTTGCAGGTTTGGTAAAATTTTACCAAGTTTGCAAGCATATTTATGCTTGATGTCATTATTGAAAGTTATTCTCAGGTTTAAATTGCCAAATCCACTTCATTCTGTTTCAGAATCCGTCACTTTAAGAACAAAACAAACCTTCGCGTCATTTTCATTCAGAGCAACAGCGGAAGTTATTTCAAGCACTTCCGGAGCTCATTTTCAGGCCAGACAACATACATTTTGTACAATGCCGGCGAAGAAAGAATTCAAGAGATTACCGACAGACGTTAAACCAGAGAACTACAACCTGCGTCTACAACCAGATCTACAAAAATTCACCTTCAAAGGACATGAAACCATTGATGTCAAGGTATAAATCTTTTAAAATCTGTCCAGGGGGAACTTGTGAAATATTGTGTAGACCGGCTAATATTAAATTGTCATTTCATTTTTTTACAGTAAAAGAGAAAAAGTATACTTTTATGAAATGGAATTAGTAGTACATCTTGGAGTTCAAGAGTGCATACATATATGGGGTAAACCTGAATAATTAATTGCATGAACATGTGAAGCTTGAAGTTGCCTTAATTGAACATGAAAAATGATAGCCTCTCGCTGTTGATTGAATGATTTATCGATCATTGAAATAACACCATATTGTTTAAAGTTGCATAATTTTAAATGTCAATATATTTCATTCAAAGTATTGAACTGAAGCGTGTATATGCAATATAAGATCTCACCATGTCATAATTGTTTTAATCATTGTAAATCAAATTCTATTGAGGGAACTTAATTAAAGACCAATAAATGACAAATTAAAATAGTATATATGATAAAGGAACCATCACAAAAATGGATATGAAGAAATTTTTTTACACAAGAATCAAAACTAATACACTGTAGATAATTAAAATTTGAAAGTGAATATGAACCATTTAAATCAATATCTTGAACAGCTGTTGAAGTTTAAATGTAACAATAATTTTTTTTTCTAGAAGCTGTATTTTATATTTTTGTTAGGTCTTTAACTAACTGGTTGGGTAATGGTTTTCCCCTGACCTTTGTCTGGGCATTTAATTTTAAATTTAATTTTTTTAATAAACAGACTTCATCCATCACCAGTCTATTTGTGAACACGGGTTACATAATTGTCAAGATAATAAAGGAGAAACGTCACAAGAAATAGGCCAGGGACATGATACTACTTTTAACAAAATATTTCAGATGCATGAATGGCATTGTTTACCTAAGTTATAAAAGTCTATGTTAACAATATGCTGGCTATATGAATATGACTGTGCAATAAACCTTTAACAATTTGGAAGATGTAAATGGGTTGATGGGAAGAGGCCTAGCTCCTATGGAAGTCAGGCTTAAAGCACTTTAGTAAATGATAACCATCATCCAATGAGTAACTCTTTAATTAACTAAGGATGACTGATACCTGAAACATATAGAAATAATATTACATTACATAAATGATTAGTTATTTAGTGTTCCATCTATATGCTTTAGAAAAAAACCCAGAAATTAATTTTCTTGATTAAAAGACACATTAAGCCTAAAAAAAAATATTTTTGTTTCCTGTAACCCAACCGACCCATTCAAATTATCCCCGGGTGGATTTTTTTTTCTGACAAATGGCAAAACTTCGTTTGATCAATCAGCTGATTCCATTTATTAAATTAAAAAAATAGCTTGTAGCTAAATTTGAGACATAAAATATGTCAACCTAGTTTACATTTACCCTAAATATAAAGAGTAATCATTATTGTAACAACAGTTTCGCCCCTAAAACTTTCTGAAGTTCGTTTTCTGCTGCTAGGCAGCCATTTTGGGTACCATGTTGGGCGTCCACTGTAAATATAACACCTGGTATTTTCAGTCAGGGGATGTTTGATCATTCATAAGAAAAAAAAAAAAAAAAAAAAAAGAATTTCCGACCTACTGACCCTTTATTTTTTGGGAATATTACAGAAAACAAACTTATTTTTTTTAAGCCTTACACTGAATCAAACAAACAAAAGTGATTAGATTTTTGTACATATCAAATATACAATTTTGCTTAATAACTTTGAAAATCTTTATGCTTTGGATGTCATTATATGCTGTATTCTGACATTTGAAAACCAAAAGGTTGTGACTAATTTTTGTCACTGTCAGATTTGCAGCCTTCCACAAAATTCTTCAGAGAAGTGGCAAATCAGGAAAAAAAACTCAAACTAATAACTTATAAGCATGCTTACTCATAAGATTTTGGAACCTCAGGGGAAATGACACTACATTGTAGATATGCTTCCAACAGTGTCATTTTATAAGCAGTTGATAAACATTGTGAATTATTAGGAATTTCTTAACAATTATAAGATTTAGACTTTTTAACTTTAAGTATAACATGCAGCTTGCTTGTCAATGACTATAATAATTATTTTGATTTCTTTAGTGATTTATTAATGACTTAAAAATTTGGGAGGAGAGGGAGAAATCATTATTGCACATTTTTAAGAAATAAGGTATCATTTTTTGAGTTTTATTGGGATGTAAAACGGGTTGGTCACGTGATCAAATCCCATAAAGCCCGAATTTGATCACGTGACCAACCCTTCGGCTTTATGGGATTTGATCACGTTACCAACCCGTTTTACATCCCAATAAAACTCAAAAAATGATACCTTAATTATTTCTCATATTTATGTTCCCCAAACGAAGTTTTGGAACATATTGTTTTTACTTTTTCTGAATTTTCTTTTCTGAATTTTGTTCTCCAGTACTTTTTTGTCCGTGAGTGTTCTCGTAAACTACTCATCCGATCTAGTTGAAACCTTTTTAGGGTCACTAGGTATGTTATGTAGATGTGCGGAACGAAGGTCATTTTGCGCGCACGTGCGTGCATGTGCGCACACATGAAATGGCCAATATAATAGATATAGCCGTAACTTTTTAAATTTTTGATGAAATGCTTTGAAACTCATAATATAAGGATATATCAGTAGTATAGACATGATGACATGGTCAAAATAGCAAGATCTTAATAATAATAATAATAATATTACGCGCATGCACATGCGCTTCACTCCAATTGGCTGAAACTAAAAGTCTAAATATCTTTTTTGTTTTCTGACAAAATCCTTTGAACTTTTGAACATAGTCATGAATACATTATGAAGATCTGCAGCATGATATATAAGAATAATCATGAATGCACGCACATGCACGTGTGCTGCAATCTGATTGGCTAAAACTTTAAATGCCTAAAACTTTCTTGGTTCTCAATAATACAGGGTGAAATTTCGAATATGAATAGATATAATGAATGCCTACATTATGCTACTATCAAAAGTAAATGCAAGGACGTGCATGCACATGCGCCCGCACGCAATGCATTAAACGACTGTATACTTGAGTTTTTGATGTTCATGCAGTTCTAATTAAGAACTTCTAAATGTCAAGACATGTAACATACTGAAGCATGCAGATTTTTTTTACCCTTGACCTTGAAACTTAGGTCAAGGTCACTGGAAACCTGAATAAAATGTTGATATTATCTATTTACCAAAATCACCTTGACCTGTGAACTTGAAATTGTCCATAACCTTTGTCCTTGACCCAATGGTAAAAAGAAACATGAAGTACATGTACATGTATCTAGAAACACCTTTCAGAGTTTATTTCGGTTGGCAGGATAGAAGTTAAAGAGGTAAAGAGGTGGTGGTTTTAATGACCTTGACCTTTCATCCAAATGTCACAATCAATCTTAAGTTCTTGGAGTAAGATACAAGATTCAATTCCAACATTAAATAGGTTAAGATTAAAAATACCCCCCCCCCCCCCCCACACACACACAAACAAATCAAATTAATGGCACCGTAGAGAATCGCTGTAAAACTCAAATAACACCTCAGACCCATATAAAATTTCAGGAAAACTGCAGAAAAGAGCTTGAGGAAAGTGTATTAAAATATTTGATTTGAGTTTCCAAAGTATATAGAAATTATTAATTCATACGAAAAAAATTACAAATTTCATTGATTTGTGGGATAGAAAGATATTTCAATTGTTTAACCAACATGCCATAATCATCTTGCATAAGCATGCACATGTACGTGTGCACGCATGCAAAACGTTAAGCGATATATACATATAGTTGATAGTTGATATCATTGTAACTTTTATATTCTTAAATGAAATCCTTGGAGACTTATCATATTTATAAAAGGTTTTAGAGGAATAAGGCACGAAAAGGGACATGGGGAGCATTTGGGGAACATCTGTAACGGTCCCCGTTTACAATAGCACTAGTTACATTTGTGACTTATTCATACTTTAAATTTGCCTGATTGTGACTTTTAGCATGTGAAATGCATTATTTTTCAAACCCAACGGCATGTATGTAATCCACTGAACGCGCATCGACCCTTTATGACGTCACTGAGAAATTATGTCGAACGTTTATCCATACGAACATCTATGACCTCTTGACCCCATACCTGTTTTTATACAGTTATAAAAATGCTTGCTTTCAGTACTGTTATATAAAGGAAAACATTTGCAAATGTAAATATATACATGTACATTCATTTCCTTTTAACTGCAAGATACTTTCTATTAAAATGTTTCAACATATGTGAATGATTAATGTAGTTTTTCTAAATATTTTATTTAGTTTTGTTGGTAAAGTACAGTAAAACAACCTGTTGCCATCAGAGTGACCTTCTGTTATTAATAATTGAAGCTCTGAATAACATTGATTTTTTCTTCTTCATTCTAGGTCGTATCCAGCACAAACAGCATTACTCTAAACAGTGAGGAGATCGAGATCCAGACAGCTTCATATAAAGCCGCAGGTAACTACTACATACAGTCAAACCAGATTCTCAATCTCAAAGAATCCAATTTTAAACATCAAGATATCCTAGAATTCAAGATACCTGGTAATAAGCTTTTAAAATCTTTTTTTAAAGTGCTTGGAACTTCCAAATCACGTTGACATATGTCTTGATATTTGAGATACTGATTGAAAATAACAATGGTAATACTGTAATACTATATATGGAAATAAGTCTTAACTATTTCACATTAATTTATATCCTGTATCCTTCTTGCCCAAAATCTCTCTGTTGGCCTAAACAGAAAAGTTGTTGAATATTATTTATATGATTATTTCTATGGCAAGAAAAATCAAGATATGTGGGAAGATATGGGTATAGATGATCAAATAACATCCTGATAATTATTCTTCTGAACCGTTTAGATGCTGGAGACCAGAGTGTGAAAGCGGAGGTGAAATTTGAACCAGAGAATGGAGTGGTGGTGTTATCATTCCCCAGTCCTCTCCAGGTAGGTGTGGTTAATTCTGCAGGTGACACAAACATTTTACAATATTTTGTTAGGTTTGAAATATTGGTATCTTTGTGAGGACTTTGAATAGGAGAAACAATTTGCAGGGGCAGGCCTGCATCTCATTACTTCCTTAACTATTTAAGTAGCAAAAGGACAACCATAAATAATATGTAATTTATCAAACTTTGAGTACTTTACAATTTGCTGACCATCTCATATAATTTCTTGATGGTACATCAAAGTTTTTTTTTTTTTTTTTGAAAATTAAAGGCCAGTCAAATATAATTATACATTGTATATTAATATGTTTACCATTCTCTCTCTTTGATTTGTAGCCAGGAAGTGGTCAACTGTCCATTGATTTCACCGGTCAGCTGAACGACAAGATGAAGGGGTTTTACAGAAGCAAGTACACCTCACCCTCAGGGGAGGAAATGTACGCAGCCGTCACACAGTTCGAGGTCAGTAATTTTTTTTTTAAAAAATGAACAAAAATACTATGAAAACTTGTCTCATCCATATGATGTTTATTCTAAATTCTTGTCAAATACAATTTCAACCTTTAGCACTGATAACTTTTTTCAGTAAATTCTATTGATTAAAATGTTGTCTAATCGGGTAAAAATTTTTGGAACCTATGGTGTCAAGTTTTACTTTGTATCTTAAAAGTAAGGTTCTTATGATTAAACTTCAGGCATCCCAGACTTAAGAATTCTATATGTGCCTGTTGTAAAGTGAGACTTTTGTTTATAATTTTCAGGCAACAGATGCTCGGAGGGCGTTCCCTTGCTGGGATGAACCAGCGGTCAAGGCCACATTTGATGTCACCCTGGTAGCTCCTAAAAATAGAGTGGCTCTCTCTAATATGGTAGGAACATGCAGAAATTAAGAATTTAAAAACCACCATCATGAAATGAAGATATCAATTGTAAAATTGGAAGAGTATGGCTGTCGAAATCTACAGCTTTTAATTTTTAATCATTTACAGAATTCTCTCCCTTCCCACATTTGAACTATATATTAACGACGTTCGATCCTGATATTTAAAGTCTTTTTTTGCGGAGTATATTTTTAGTTTCTACATACATAGCTTAATTAAAATTCAAATAAAAAAATGGTGGTCAATATGCTTCTTTTAGCGCTTCAGTACATTTAATATGACCTTTCTGCTCTGAAATTTGTGTCTTAATTAAAAATTACATCTTCGACATTTTCCCTCCAATATTTTTATCCTATTAAAGCATGAAACAAAATGAACTCTAAGTCTGTTTAAAAAAAGACACTTAAAAATTGTGACGAAGAAAAAGTTTAAAATTGCTTTGCATAATCAATTATTTGACCTTTCTGCACTAATAAAATGTTATTTTTCTGGCATTGAAAATATAATAAGCAAGAAAATTATTTTAAAGTCTTAAACTTTTTCTGATTTTAAGCAAATACATGTAGGTCAAAGTTATCTTGAATATTTAGAAAAGAACATCAAAAGTGGGGGTATATGATGTACATTTTCAGATATTACTAAAAAAAGTGTGAATTTTACGTTAAAATTGGCTCAATTTTTTCCCGGATTTTCAGAATATATTAACTATATTTTTCACACTTTGTTGATAGAATTAATAAGAAATAATTTAATAGATATTTCAGAACCAGCATAACATATTTCATTGCAAAAAACAGCTTTGTGTGCAACCAGCATGTAAAAATAGGCATTCAAAATTAACAGTAATGATATAGTTCAAATGGAAAAAATGACCATTTTCGTCTAAAAAACTTTCCGCCACAAAATATAGTCCCTAGCTTAATTCTACTTGAATGGAATTTAATCGCGGTTTTTTCATTGAATATAGTTTAATTTGCATTGTAGAATTCAGTTTTATTGTTAGAACCTAAAAATGATGCTTAATTTTATGAATAAAGGACCTGCGCAAAATACGCTCAAAATATCAGGATCGAACGTCCTTAATGTTTAAAAGGAGTTATTGAAGGGTTGACTTTAATCAGACTATGTTTATTTATATTTGATCTGCAGTCAAGACTTTGGTGAGACATGTAAATGCTAGTATGTGTAAATCTATTGGGTGTAGGAATTGAACATGACATAAAAATGAGCTACATTTGAATGCCCTAGATTATTATCAAAATAGTTTATGATAAATGGTTCTCTTTTTTAAATTGGAACATTACTTATCAATGTTTTTTTTCCAGCCAGTAAAATCAGAGAGTGATTTACCTGAAGACAACACATGGAAGGTGGTGTCCTATGAGCGGACTCCCATCATGTCTACATACCTCCTGGCGTTCGTCGTCGGGGAGTATGATTACGTGGAGGGTAAGGATGCGGACGGGGTGTTGGTCCGAGTCTACACCCCTGTGGGGAAGAAGGAACAGGGACAGTTTGCCCTAGAAGTGGCTGTGAAGACCCTCCCATTTTACAAGAACTACTTTCAGATTGCGTATCCCCTACCAAAAATAGATCTCATTGCTATTGCTGATTTTGCTGCAGGTAAGGATTTTGAATTGGACTTGGAAAAATAATTAATACCTCTGTTTTAAAACCTAAGATTAAGGTTTGAGAAATTAAATTAATTAAGAACTCAATCTATTGAATTGGATTGTATTGTAGATTCATGACTTATACCATAATAAAGTAGTCAGTATTTATTTTTCAATATTTTTAATATTTGAAATGTTGTCTAAACTGCCTCACTAGATGTCATAGAGAACAATTCTGCTGATTGATAGAAATTAGCTATAACTGATATAACTGTATATTGTCAAGAGTTTGATTTTTTGAGAGTTCTCTCACTAGGTGCCATGGAGAACTGGGGACTGGTGACGTACAGGGAGACAGCTCTGTTGATTGATCCTAAGAACTCCTCCTCCAAAACCAAGCAGTGGGTGGCTCTAGTGGTGGGGCATGAGCTGGCTCATCAGTGGTTCGGAAATCTAGTCACTATGGTAAAAACTAGTCACTATGGTAGCATCTAGTCACTCTGGTAATATCTCGTCACTATAGTAAAATCTCTTCACTATGGTAATATCTAATCACCGTGGTAATATCTAGTCACTATGGTAAAATCTAGTCACTTTGGTAATATCTAGTCACCATGGTAATATCTAGTCACTATGGTAAAATAATGTCACTATGGTAAAATCTAGTCACTATGGTAATAAGCTTTTTTTTAGGACTCCACATGCAAATACATTCATACTGGTTATAAATTACATCCATAGTGGTGATTGTAATCCTGTCTATTCTCAAGCAATCTTCCATTATAGCATACTGAGAGGGCAACTTAATGGTCATGAGAAAGATGATGCTTTTCAAATTTGAACTGGTTGATTTCAAAATGAAATGTATTTATAATAAATACCACAGCCATATTGCAATGGTCTACAGCAAAGAGGCAAAAACATAAACTGAATTCAAAATGTTATTAAATGAGAACATCTGTCACTAAACTGCCGATTCTGTGTCTTGATCCCCAGGTGCAAACATTTGCACAACAAAGAACCCCTAGCCAAAGCCTTACAGTGATTGAACTCCATCAGAATAGCTGAAATCAGAAAATTTTAAAATTTCTTGATAACATATACAAGTACCCTAATTATTGATGTATTCCTTCCTGCTGGTAGGAATGGTGGACACACCTGTGGCTTAACGAGGGATTTGCGTCCTGGATTGAGTACCTGTGCGTGGACTACTGCTTCCCTGAGTTTGATATCTGGACACAGTTTGTCAACCAGGACTTAGGCCGGGCCCTGGAGATGGACGCTCTACATAACAGCCACGCCATAGAGGTCAGGGAACCAGCTTAACATAAATTTTGTTTTACACTTTCATATGTACACAGGATATGTAAGGGATATGCAAATGTGTGTTTGAGGGGGGGGGCATGTTTGGGGTATCATTGAATTTGAGCCCAATAGCACAGATTACAATTAAAGTAATGCGAGTTTAATAAGAATTTTAATAAAAGGAGAAGATGATTTCTGGATGTTAAAATGTCTGCATCCCTTTTCTCAGAAGTCATATTGCTCACATTTGTATTTAAAGGCATATAAAGTAAATAGGAATGTACATTCTAGCATAGACATTTCTTGTAGTTTATTGAGAGGGAATTTTTCAAACATCAAAATGAATGGATTTTATTTTTGCATGTCTTTATTGAGCTTGCATTATTGACCTAATTTTCTGCCTGTCGTTTGACAATGAATTTCATTCAGATTCCAGTTGGACACCCAGATGAGGTAGATGAGATTTTTGATGCCATATCCTACAGCAAGGGGGCGTCGGTCATCAGAATGTTACACAACTACATCGGAGATGAAGTGAGTTCACTAGAATTTATCAAGCCGTGGGGTTTCTTATATTTACATTGCAAGATTAGTAGCGTGTAATTATACGCCTTTTAAGGAAAATCAATTGGAGTTAGATTTTGAAAAAGAAGAAGTAAAGTGTGAAAAGAAAAGTAGACCAAATAAAGAGTTTCTTTTAGACAAGTTTGTTAAATGTGACTTTGATGTTATGATCTTTCCTCACATGCTTCTGTAAAGTATTATCTCTCTTCCTTGCTTTAACATGTAGAATAATAGATGAACAACTATGAGAATATTTTTGTAACTCTATTTAATTTGTATGAGGTGGATATTTCGGATTGTTTCAGAGCTTTAGGAAAGGAATGAACCAATACCTGACCAAGTTTAAGTATAATAACGCCATAACCGAGGACCTGTGGGAATCCTTAGGAAAAGCCAGCGGCAAACCGGTGCTGGACGTCATGACAACGTGGACCAAACAAATGGGTTACCCGGTAGTCAAGGCAAGGACACAATATCTTCTCTTGGAAAAAATTCCTTTTAAGTGGATTTTTTTCCTTTTAATATTTTATACTTTTTTTGAGTAGATTGAGTAAGGGCTATCTTCTAGAAAAATTACAAGCAGAATACATGTAATTCACATGACTTTTTCTAACTTTTGTAGGAAAAAAACCCATAATTTTTACAGACATTCACCAACTGTATATAAAAGCTAAAGTATTTTGAATTTATTATTTAAAAAAAATTCCTCTGAATAACACATGTAAAACTGTAAATACATGTATGTAAAATGTTCAAGATCCACTAAGATCAGCTTTTATACGCTTGAGAATGATACAGAAATTTTATTCACAGGTTAGTGAGAAGCAAGATGGCAACAGTAGAGTTTTGACGTTGACACAGGAAAAGTTCTGTGCTGATGGAGTGCAACCTAAAGGTACGTTTTCATATTGCGTAAAGAGTCTGGGAAATCATTTCATCCAAAATCACTGAAATGCTGAATGTACATAACTTGTAAGATAATTTTTTGAAGATCACAAGTTCATTGTTTAATAAGAAGGGCAGTACTTCATTTGATGGATAAGCAAATAGGGTATATAATATAAAACTGACTACAATCTAAGAAGTTCCTTCAACATGTTTCACAAACAAACATACATCTTGCTTCTCTATCTGAAATGTACAGCATGAATTTTAAACAAAGGAATTTGAAAGTTAAAAAGGCAAGAAGAACAATGCAAGTCTTAATCAGATCTCTTCCTGTACACCAATAGACTTAAGAATTTAATATTTATCCTGTTCTTGTATTTTAGACGGATCCTTCTCCTGGATGGTGCCGATTTCCATCAGTACGTCCAGTCAACCCGACAAACCAGCAGTCGTCACACTTCTAGACAAACCAACAATAGAAGTCACTGTTCCCAACGTCAAACCTAAGGAGTGGGTCAAGGTTGTATTCTTGATATTCTAACCTTGTTCTGAATGTCTGAAATAAGATATATTACCGAGTTTTACTCAGAAAGGAAATGTATAAGCTGTGTGCATGTATATGATCATTTCCATATCTTATTGTCTTGATTTTCATGAAGATAGTATTTTTTCCCTTAAAAATTGCATGAATCACTGGGCTTATGTTCCAATTTAATGATAAATATTGGTTGGTTCATGATACAATAGTATGTTTAATGATATCGGGTCACAAAGTAAGGCAATGGTTAGCATTAGAGTAATGGGAAAACTCAAGAGAGTGGCTGAACAGATTTGGAAGACACATCTGTTCAATATAGCAACATCTGAATTAGGTGATTTTTGGAACAATTGAAATTCATCTCCCAGTAAAATTATGTTTAGGAAAATCCTTTTTTTTTTTGCAATAAATGAGTTTTAAGCTAAGCTGACAGCTTTACATGGCCAAAATTAGATGGTCATCAAAAGTTTGTATTCAAATTAAATCTGTTGGTGATTACAGGTACCTGATTGTGATGACTGGCTACATTCTTTTACAGGTGAATATGGAGTCTGTAGGGGTATACAGAGTTCAGTACACATCAGAGACCCTGGACAAATTCATACCAGCCATCAAAAACAAGAACCTCCCTCCCCGAGACAGACTCAGTCTACAGAGCGATCTGTTTGCACTCGTAAGTACGGCCTAATTAACATTTAAACTAGGTCACATTTTTAGAAATAATTCTAGAATTACTGTAGATTCCTTATTTTCCGCGAGTTCTTTTTATCGTGAATGGGCTCTTCAACAGAAAATGGTGACTGTTGGTCAAGAGTTTTAACATACATTTCAGCACCATAAAAGTAAAGGCGAGTGATATAATTTCGCGTATATTTAGGAATCTACAGTAGGTGAGAAATGATTTTATTTAGTAAGACAATGACACTTGTCTTGTCTGGATATTGTAGTTTCTGAAATCATGTCTAATACAATATTTATTTTCAGCCCCTTTATTAAAGAAATTTCAGTTGTTTTAATTGTTGTATAATCTGAAATGTCTTAAGGTGTGAAATTTGTATATCTTAGGTAATATATGTCCTTTTATTGAATCTTTCAGGCTAGAGCTGGGATGATTTCGACGGTAGACGTTCTAAAGGTTGTGGGATCCTTCGTTAACGAGGATAACTACACGGTGTGGAGTGACCTTGCCAGTAACCTGGGACAGATCAGCATTCTACTACAGAACACAGACGGATTCGAGGACTTCAAGGCCTTCAACAGGCGACTGTTTAAACCTGTGGCACAGACTCTGGGCTGGGACCCCAAAGATGGAGAAGGTTTGAGAATTTTTTTTTTATTCAAAATTTGAAGTTGATCTATCAGCGATTTTTTTCCACCAATTGGGAAAGGGTCCGGTACCGGTTCAATTGGGAAAAATAACATTGAAGAAAAACAAAGGAGAATTTTCTCTTATTTATGCAAATGCAACATATTTTGCGTTTTTCCTACTTAATTACCTATTACTGCTTGTTTTAAAGAATAAACAACAAGTACTTATTGTTTTTATAGCAACGTCCCTTGTTTTCACATTGTCATGCTTTCAATTTGTCAAAATATATGACGACTTTCTCTACTTTCGATTTAAGCGGAAGTGAAACAATTAGTCAACTTGTACAATGTTTCATTTAACAAGAAATATGACGTTGTCGTAATCTTTTGCTTCACAGTTGAATTACAGGGTTCTCCACATTTGGAAATTTAACCATGGAGGAAGCTGCGTGAAGACAAAATGTGAACGAAAACACGAATGCGCGTTAGACTTCCTAATCTTCATTAATCAATGACTGGTTTTACAATTTGTAAACTTTACCATTGCAACACAAAACAATGGAATAACTAACTCTGTTTAAAGTTAAAAAAAAAAAGAATTAAAATTGAAAAGGATTTATCCTGTATTTTACCTCACAAATGTACCAGAATTTGCCCAAAACTGTAGTAATCTTCCGAAGGAATTAAAAAAAATTGTTGATACATTAACCAGGGCAATATTATTCAGAAATTATTAATAATTGTAAGAATTGTTGTAGCCTGTTGCATTGTATGAAATGTTTTGTTAAATATGACTAAAACTGATGAATGGGTAGTATTTTTTTACGTAAACACACAAAGGAACAATTGGATGTGTCCTTTTTGTCTAAGCATTCTATTTTTTCTAGATAATGCGTTTTTCACCAAGTTTTGTTTACTTCTCCACGTGCCCCAGTGCTAAAAATAGCGCCACGCGACGTCTCAGAACAACGGGAATTAACTCTAAAAATAAGACGGTGACTGACACAAAACGTCCTATGCACATTATATCGAAAACGATAATAAAGTTAAAGCTTAAAAAATAGCATGGGAAATTGATTAAATACAGAGGAATATGAATTTTTTACAGAGTATTTTTGAGCTAATATCATCAAGATTGCCGACGTTAAAAAAACTATTTAGTTTCGACTGCCCTGGCTCGGATGCCTGTCTACTACGAGACATCGTTACTATGTCTTTGAATTCTTGTAAATCTTTTAATTATTATGTAGTGAGCTGAACACAGTTAGAATTCAACAAAATAACGTGTAATACAAAAATACAGAGCCCCGTTAACAGTAGTTTATATAGTAGATAACTACTCATACTGTTAAAACAGCTGGCCGACCGACCTTCAATTCATGAATTCTCACGCTTCACGGCACATTCGCAGCTGATCGACCGTGGGTAATTAGCACTATTACATGTCCCCGTGCGCTTGGGGGGCTTCACACCACGTGGTATAAACACAATTAACAATTAACTACTCGGATAGTGTATTGCAGGTGTCATCTCTGAAAATGCAAGTTTTAAATTCTAAAATTTAACCATGGCGGGCGCGGATTTTAACCATGGCGCAGCAAATTTAACCATGGCGCACACAAATTTAACAATGGCGCACCTCCATGGTAAAACCCCTTGTGGAGAACCCTGAATTAGGAATTTTTAGTCACAGAATTGGGAAAAATTAACGTTTTTTGGCATTGGGAACGGTGCCGTTTATCGGTACCAGTTATATAAGGAAAAAAAACGCTGTCTATTATTATACCCCCCGCTTGAAAATTAGGAAGGTATATCGTAATCGGTATTTCCGTCCGTCTGTTATGCTTTGGGGTACCCATCTCTTATCTGCAACTCCTCTTATACCACTGAAGGAATTTAAATGAAACTTTCACAGAATCTTCATTACATATTGCCATTGTGCACTTCCTATTTTACTTTTTGAACTGACATATATTTTGGATTTTCCAGAGCAAAACATGGACACTGCCATTATATTCATATGGGAGGTGGGGGGTATCATTTAGTGAGCTCATTGCTCACAGTACCTCTAGTTAAGTCCTTACTTTTTGTTTTCCTGTGCTTTTTTCTTGTAATAAATTTTGTGTCCTAAGTTTATGAACTTTCAAATGTATTTTGATTTTTATAACCAATTTTTTTAATGCAAAATTCCCACAGCCTAGTTCTAATTCATTCATTATCCAGTCTGTTGTAAGGCTATCTGAAGACTAGGAGATTTCTCTGACTGGATCTCTTTGTGTTCAGAGACTTGGTTCTGCTAAGATAAGGAGACTTTTACAGGACCTCTGGCTGCTATGTTGAGGGACTTGGCTCTGACCAGACTTGGTAAATACGGAGATGAAGAGACGGTGTCTGAAGCAAAGAAAAGGTTTGAGGCCCACGTCTCGGGAAAGGCTCTCCTCCCCGCAGATCTGAAGACCCCGGTGAGTGCCAGATTTATATAAAACTTTTGTCTTAGTTGATTATTAGTAAACTAAATTGTTCTGAATAGCAGCTAGTGGATGATTTTGATAACTGCATCATTGTTCTGGATTTCTAAAACTTTCGTACAGAAAAATGGTTCTGCTTTGTTTGCTTGAAGCTGTATACATGTATATTCATTAAGTGCTTCACATTTCTGTAAAATTGCCCTTTGTCATTTATTACTGTTGCTCTGCTTCATTCGATAATTCCTGAAATGGATAAAAAAAACAGATGTAATTTTTTTTACAGGTTTATATTACAGTGATGGCAAACGGCAGTGAAGATGATTTCAACAAAATGATGAAGGTACAACAGCTTAATAAACTGAAAAACAAAAAATGGGTAACTAAAAAACTACTTCAGTGTAATATGATACTGTCCTTGACCGATGTCGTTGTAGTTATACGATGAAGCAGATATGCAGGAGGAGAAGAACCGACTGAGCCGATGTATGGGGTCCATTAAGAGTGACGATCTGAAGAAGAAAGTGCTAGAGTTTGCAATGTCTGACAAAGTGAGATCCCAGGATACCGTGTTTGTGATCGGCGGAGTTACGGGGACTGTCCAGGGGAGAGAAATCTGCTGGCAGTTTGTCCAGGACAAGTGGTCAGAGCTCCACGAGAGATACAAGGGGGGATTCCTTCTGTCTCGTCTTGTGGAGGTAAGTCTTGGAGGTTTAGTGTTGTAAGGGGAATTAAACCCAAGAGAGCTGAGAGGTTGTCTAAGTTGACAACATGGGCAGGAGATTGTCCACTAGAATTATCTTATTTTTCAGTTCTAATGTATAGAATAAAAACAAAAAATAATACATCTCTTTAGAGTAAAAGGAAATGAAATATTCTTTTCCATGCATTTTAAACATTTAATTATACAAGAACACATTTTTAAGCGGTCAATATTGTTTTACATAGCTCAGGCCTTATAAAAATATGTTGAGCAAACTTTTTTTATTTCCTTTTATGTTGGTTTTGTAGCTTTCAACAGAGAATTTTGTCACAGAAGCACGGGCCAAAGAAGTAGAGGTAATGTGTACTTCAGTTATAATTATAAGTAGAACGTAGAGAAAAATAATTAGTAGACATGTAATTTAAAAAAAATAAATGTGGATGCTTTATTTATATTAAAAAATAAAGATAGATGGGATGCTTTTTTTAAAATGAAAAAGTTAAATGTTTGAACAACAAGGTTACATTTTGTATATCTGATCTCATGTCTCGATGTTCGGCATTACTGTAAACCACTAAATTTACACGACACCTTATTTTTTGCGAGAAAGACATTTGCTCTTCATTATAGCGAGATAAAATTTTCACAAATTGTGGTTCTACTGTATATATTCTTTAAGAATACTAATATGAGTGAGAATGATATTTTCATGAGCACTCTGTCTTGGCTGTGTAATTATGCAAAAATAAAGTTCTCACAAATAAAAAGTGATTTACTGTACATTAAACAATGGAAATCATTATTTTCTGATGCTTGCAATAAAAAGAGGTTCATTTATCTTCGATTATAGAAAACTTGGGTGAGCAATGCGGCCCCTGGGTTTGTTGATAGGTATAACATTAATACTGTAAATTTCCCTGTAAATTACAGAAATTCTTTGAGGCTCATCCTGCACCGGCAGCAGAAAGAAAAGTCCAGCAATCCGTTGAGAACATCCGACTGAATGCCAAGTGGATGGAGAGTCAGGCCGACAAGGTCGTGGATTTCCTCCGCAGTCAGTGAACAAATCCGACAAGATCCGACCAGATGTGTAGTGCTTATAAAGCAACATTCCTGATTTAATTGTCAATAAACCAGTATTATTGATCAGTCTTATAACATTTCTGATTGTGGGTCCATGATCAAAATTAAGAAGGTACCAAATAATACGTGCTAAGAACATTAATTGTTCTATAAAAACTGTTGATTGATCAAAACAGTTATGTAACAATTAGTTTATCATCAAGTAATGGTAATGGTAAAAAAAATCTAAATGACTAAAGTCTTCAGATCCACTGAAATAAAAATAAAAAACCAGAATGAACTCATGAGTTTTTATTGCATCTATTTTCGTTTGACTTTGTGTTGTTGTTAGTTTGTATTGTGGAGTTCCAGTTCAACGTTTGATGTTTTCATTTTGCTGCTGAGTTTGAAGTTTTTTCTGATGTTCTGCTCATAAAGACAAATGAATAAATAACGGGGGACCAGAATAGATGAGGCCTAAATAGGAATTCAAAATTTTATATGGGAGCATATTACAATCCATTTATAATCTGTTATGCATTAGGCCAGATAAAATTAATCTGTAGATTCTCATCCTAATTTACTATAAAATTGGGGCGGGTGGGCGGATTTTATTTTTTATAATTGTTCAATTGTAAGTATCAACAAAACATGGACTCTTCATACACATTTTTTTTCATAATGTTAATGCCAATATGAATAAATTTTATTCTTTTCATAGTCTTTTAAATATCTAAAGAAGATTCTTGCTTTTAAAAAATTAAATATTTATCGTTACTTAACAAATTATCAAGTACACATATACGGCACACGCCAAACAAAATGAGATGGGGATACCAGTAAATTGTATATGCATGACTTCTCATCGGCCTCTCCCCAAATACCTTATCTAGGAACTCGTTAAATTGAACAATATTTCAATCACAAAATTGAACAGAATTGGGCAGCAGAATCGGCCTGTTTTGGCATTATTATTGATACTTTTTTGTATAATAAGTATATCAAGGGAGAGAAAATTGTGCTCATGACAAGGATTTCACATTAGATATGGTTTGACCTTTAACTGACTAGAAGCTTTTTTCAAGGTTACTGCATTTCTACCTACAGGCACGTAGCAAGTGGGAAGGGGGGGGGGGCCCCCCCCCCATTTTTTTTCCCAACATTACTTTTACTATTGGAAATGTTCAATGAAACGCTGGTTGCCCCCCCCCCCCCCACTTTATACTACAGGATATTGATTTAAAGGAAATGTAGTGCTGAATACGAAAAATGGGTACTGAGAGAAGTTGGCATTGAAAAAATGTCTCTGCTGCCGCCCCCCCCCCCCCCCCCCACTTTTTTCCCAACATTACTTTTACTATTTTACTATTGGAAATGTTCAGTGAAATTGCCCCCCCCCCCCCCCCCAACTTTATACTACAGGTTATTGATTTAAAGGAAATGTAGTGCTGAATACGAAAAATGGGTACTGAGAGAAGTTGCCCCCCCCCCACGAAGTAGGATTTTCGAGTTTTGGCAATTTCCCCTCTTTTTTTTTCTTTTTTTTTTTTGACTTGTCTACTTTTTCAAGTAAGTAAAACAATTTTTTTCTCTGGCTGTCCCCCCCCCCCCCACTTTCAAAAACGATGCTACGTGGCTGACCAACTGGAACTTTTTAGATAAGTTATAAGCCATATGGAATTCGTGAGGGGGAGAAAATGAGATCTATACAGTGACCTTACCTTGAACCTTGTTGAAGGTCACGGCACACCTACTATGATTGAAGTGATGAGGGGAATATATTTTGTTCTGGAGAAGGATTGCATGCAAAGTATCATCTTTTGCATGGATTAGTATACACTATACACAGAACTGAGGTGTTTAATACATCTATGATTTTTTTCTGAATCGTCAGCATTGCTCTGAGAGTAGCTTCAGTAGGTACTTGATTCACTATTTTCAGCAGTGTTATCAAATGCCTTTCTGACTGCCATGCCATGGATGTGACAGGTGAAAGACCTGCCAGGGAAAAGCCTGGGTTAATGTCTTTGAAGTCGAAGACTTCTTAGGATGGAAAAAAATACGGCGTGGACGTTGGCCAGAAAGGTAGAGCACCTGACTGTCCAGAGAATGCTGGGGTCTGGGTTCGAGCAAGTCCATTGAATGTTTCCTCTCCCGATACATACCATTACTTTACTGTGTTAGAACAAAAAGGGGATGGGGTGGGGGCCAACTAGGCATACGTTTCGATATTTTTAAGCCTCCCCCAACCCTTCTGGTAGTATTGATTGTATGTTGTTTATCGATAACGTCCCTCTCGAGAATTTTTCACTCAAAAATGTCTGGAGACGCGCCACTACTTGCTAGTGGAAAGCTGCAAATTTTGTCCTATTTTCGGCACTTAGGGACATTGAGCAGTGAGGGATCATTTTAGCATCTGCTGCTGGACATCGGTTTATACTTACGGTCTCATTCGAAGGACCGGTGTATTCGAACCCAAGGATCACATGCGCAGATCTAGAGGGGGGTGGGGGTGGGGGTCCGGTCGGGGGGTCAGGACCCCCCTGGAATTTACCAGGTTAAAAAATGTACATGTATATACTAAGTACAAATATCTTAGTATACTTTTACAATCAAATGGCAATTTAAAACATGCTTGTGATGACCTTGCTGCCAGAGCCCGAAAAGCTTATTTTGCCTTAAAGCATAAGCTACCCTTTGGCTCAAATCTCTCTCCCAGCTTGTGGTTAAAGCTATATGAATCAATTATTGTTCCAATTTTAACATACTCCTCAGAAATTTGGATCTCTGATTTTAATACAAATCCCAATAATTTTGATAAAAGCCCTTTTGAAAAAATCCAAAATTTTATCTTAAAAAAATCTTAGGTGTCCATAATAAAGCATCAAACTTAGCAACTAAAATTGAATTAGGTGTTTTCCCTGTACATACCAAAATTTACCATCTTGTTTTTAAATATTATTCCAGATTGGAAAAATTAACAAAAACAAATAATAATTGCAATGTCTTACTCAAGAATGCTTACTTGGAAGATACGCGATTGGCCAGTGAAAATAAAACAAAAAGTCTCTGTCGAGACTGAAGCTCTACTGGTTTGTACTTATAGCAAAGGAAGAGAAAAGTACTTAAGCAGTTGGAAATTGAAACTTTTCTACAGCAATAAAAAGAATAATGATCCTTGATTAAGTCTCTTTATGTTCTTAGTGCAGTCTAATTGCATGCCAAATTTATATTATAATCAGACTAAAATTGTATTTGGAGTAGCATTTTGAAAGAATTTCACAGAAATTTCTATTTTCAGTAACCACGGCAACACCGTTCATCGAAATCAAACACTCGGCACACCTCGGCCGATTCGTACCTCATCTAACCTCGTTTGATGTAGTTCACGGAATCAGCCGAGGTTTGCCGAATGCGAAATCAAAAACCGATACACAGAATTATGTATCTTAGTGTAGTCTACTTGTGTGCCAAGTTATATTGAAATCAGACTAAAACTGTAGAAGGAGTAGCATTTTGAAAGAATTTCACAGAAATTTCTACTTTTAGTAACCACGGCAACACCGTTCATCGAAATCAAAAACCGATACACAGAATTGTGTATCTTAGTGTAATCTACTTGTGTGCCAAGTTATATTGAAATCAGACCAAAATGTAGGAGGAGTAGCATTTTGAAAAATTGTTTACAGACAGACGGACAGACACACAGACAGACAGACGGACGGACGACGGACGCATTACTATCGCATAAGCTCTTCTGGTCTCTGACCAGTAGAGCTAAAAATGTTGGCAAAGTTGTGTAAAATCAATGCAGAAGATGTTAGATTTTAACTTTGACACAGTTTTTAAAACTTTTAGTCCTAAACTTAAAAATTTCTTTGAAAATAATTTTTTTTCTGAACTCCAACACATTAACAATACTCAGTGCGGTAAGCTGTCATTTTACAGTACATTATTCAACTATGATGCTAAGAAACTGGAAATCCAACCATACTTGTGTTTTCCACTTCATAAGAATTTATTTTCTTATCTTTCCAAGTTAAGAATAAGTGCACATAAGTTGTATGTAGAAACAGGTAGATATTGTAATCCTGTCATTCCTAGAGAAAATAGATTTTGTTTCCAATGTAAAACTCTTGTTGAAGATGAAAAACACTTTTTACTTGATTGTCCTGTGTATAAAAATATCAGGAAAAAGTATTCAAGGTTACTAGATGTTAATAACTTATCTTGTTTGCTTAATCCACATAACTTTGTATCTACGAAACAAATCTGTCAATATATCAGAGACTGTTTTGATATTAGAAACAAGCTTACAATAGTATATTTACATCCACTGAATATTTTCTCCTTTATTTCTTAATAATTTAATTCTGTTTGTATTCTTGTCTCTCATTGGTTGATTTCCAAAAAGGAACGCATAACATTTTGTATAATCTGGTTTGGTATGGGGACACACCCCCTTGACAACCAGCTGAATCATCTGTATCCATCAATCCCCTCATTTATATCATGAAAAATTCCAGATTTAATGAATGTACCTTTAACTTCAAACAGTTGCTCGATCTTACCTCATGTAAACAAGCATCATGGCTACTAGATCTATGTAAGTTTTTACCTTTACTTCCCATCACATCCGTTACTACGGTTGTGTTATTGCGCGGTAAATTTGAATTAATAAAAACAACACAATTTTACATCCCCAGTTGTTTAATTATTTTAAAATTAAATTATAAGGAATGTAATTCTTGGCCAGATTTCAAACAGTTTACGCTTTTTTATAATCCGCTTCGCGGATTATAAAGCGTAAACTACCCAAACCATATTACTCGATAATCTGGCCAAGTTTTTAAAGAAATCCCATTGCGTTCATCACTGCATAAACTGCAGTAGGCAGGTCGCCTGTACAGATTTCTTAATCAGTGGCTGTTCCATCAATGAAACGTATAAAGACGTTCGCATCATTAATACAATAATTAATCTTTTTAATCCTACTTTAATTGATTATTTAAACATATATAAATATAAACAATAAAATGCTTTCTTTGTTTGTTGTTACTGGAATGAACGGTTGCAGCTATTGCAGAAAAAATTTACATAACCCGCTTACGCGGGTTATGTATTTTTTCTGACGGCTGCTTGATATTCCAGTAACAACAAACAAAGAAAGCATTTTATTGTTTAAATATAATATTTTACAATACATGTATATGGCTAACAACACATTCCTGTATATAAATATGTGCTTTAGTGCCAATAAAGAATTGAATTGAATTGAATTACTAAAACAAGAAAAAAGTTACCATGGACCCCCCCCCCGGTAAACGCGAATATGTGTGAAATGGGTATAAAAAGTGAAGGATTTGAGGCAATAGAAGTCACCACGTTTGGGCGAGTTTAGTTTTTTTTTTTTTTGCTTGTCAAGAAATTTCTGGGATTGGATTTTTTTTTGAATACCCCCCCCCCGGAAAAAAATTTCTGGATCAACTCCTTACTTCGCGACTCTAGAGCAGCTAGACGTAGACGGTCTTACTACTGCGCCACGCGGGCGACGACTCAGTCATTCTACGATTAATGGACCAATTCATGGTTTAAAGCATAAAAAATAATTGTTTCAAAAAGCAAATTGAACATCATACTTCTCTAAAGGACGTGAACTTGAAAAAAAAGGAATTGTCAACTATTCTGGCATCGTTATAACTTCTTATAACAATTTTAATATTTCATTGATTTTAAGGTAAATCCCAATATAATAAAAAAATTATACGTTTAATGCAGAAACTTTTCTGAATTACGTTTATCATGTTTATGGAAGTTTAATTTTTCAGAGAGACAACCGAAGTTCTTTGATTCATTTTGCTATGTCGAAAATGTAATTAATAGTCTAAAATAGCTGATTTGCAACTAGAATCAATGAAATAAGGTTTCGTCGTCACTTTCAGGGAATCTTCAATTCTTTTTGAAATCTGCATCCTATCCAAATACAAAGTCGTTACGCAAGTTTATCGATTTTAGCGACATGCTATGATTTCGCGTAAGAGAAGACCCATGCATTTTTTTGCGACAAGTGGTTTAATTTTTTTTGTATAGGATGTTTTGAAAACATTCATTGCAATTTGTTTTCTTTCGCGGTTTAGAATTCCATCTTGAAATTTGTAAATAAATGAAGCGACATTAATATTTGCAGTGGAATACGTTTTTCAATATTACATTACTCGCTTTATGTTACAGAATGTGTCTAGAATTACGGAGTGAAAGTTAGTTGATTGACCAATACTGAAAAGTGGAGGAATTCTCCCCAAAAGTGCGCAAAAAATCTTGCGCCGTAAATTGCTTTTTTTTTGCATTATGGGATCTGTAGCATTATGGTAAAAGACTTGTATATAAAACCATAACGCTACAGATCTGCAGCTAAAACATGCAGTACACACCAAGAAAAATCAGCGACCCTCCCGCGGACCCACCCCTCAATCCTCGTGAAGATTTTTTTTTTATCGGACTGACCATTTGATTCAAATTTTAAAATGGAATCAATTTTAGGATCTCTAAATTCAGGGAGTGTTCAGATATCATTGAATTGCTCTCTTTGTAACAGAGCGTTCAAAAATAATTCATTATTAACCGAACAAATTGATTATTTTGCATAAAATGTTGAAACATATTTATATATTTGTGTATATATATATATATATATATATATATATATATATATATATATATATATATATATATATATATATATATTTAAGCAATAACTGTCTTATTTTTCGAATTCATGAAGTTATCAATGGATTGGCTTGTGTTATAATTTGCATAAACGCCGAAGGCTTTTATGCACAAAATTATCACACAAGCCAATCCATTGATCATCTTCATGAATTCGAAAAATCTGACAGTTATTCCTTATATTTACATGCTTTGATTCCGCCAATCCACGGGCTCCAAGCCTGCTTCTCTCTAGGTGTTGTCCCGCCCTGCACGTGGTTTTTTTTTTTGGAACCGCGCCAAAACATTCATGAGGAAATCAATTACATTTACAATTGGTAATTTTATCTCGGACAAAGACATTGGAAATGTAAATATATATATATATATATAGCCAGTATCTTCAGAAAAAAATAAATATATGTATATATATATATATACATATTTTCTTTTGTGACTTGATTTTTTTTTTCAGTTCATTTTTTTTTCAAAATTTCACATTATGATCAGGAAAAAAAAAGTTTTTTTTTCTGACACAATCTCCCGCCACTTGCACACATTTTCGTGTGTACGAGATTCAGGAGTTGTGTGCCCTTGGTTCGAAAAACCGGCATTGTGCGGTTTTGGTGAGAAACGCAATTAAAAGTTGCCGGTTTTCTGAAAAATTATAAAATCTACCCGGAATTAATTAGTTAAAGCAGGTTTTTTGAACAGCAAGGAAGGGTAAAAAGCGCGTGTGTATGTTCCATGTGTATTACGGTGATGCAATGTGTCTGTGTTTGTGCGAATCAGCTGTTCAAGTAAACATGGTCAACGCACGCAGGTGCCCGCGTTATAAAGCGATATAAAATAACTTCGGATTTTATCAATCGCTTTCCCAAGGATTTGACACAGATCACAAAGTGTGTAGATTCCTTTCTGGACAAAATACATTTGCAGGGTAAGTAGAAATTTATTATAATTCAAAACATTTCCCAGAAATTAAGAAATGTGGATAAATTATCTGATAATTTAAATGAAAGGTTCCATATGTATGTAACCTACACATAATACATAATCCATCACATCATATCCAGGGATGCTTTATGCATGATATGTGTTCTGATGCATGGATTATGAAGTGTTTTTAAATAAGCTGTGAACAAGTAACGATTGTTTATTGAAGCGGGCTATCAAAACAATGATGCAATATTAAAGGTATTACTATAAACACGATAAATAAATAATATTATGCACTTGGTATAGAGGGATATTCCAAATCATTGAATGGAATAAAACTTTCCATGCCGCTAGCAGCTGTTGTGAGTGGACATTGATCTTTCAGAGTGAGATCAGGAACAGAGTGAATGATCTGTGAATGTATTGTTCTTATCTTTTCTCTCACCTGTGTGAAAAGGTATTTCACTCTCTCTCTCACTCTCTCTAGGTGAAATTTTTTTCTCTCTCTCTCTGACTCTCAAAACTGGGAAAGCCTTGGAAAAAATGTTCATATTGAAGTTGTTTTTGTTCTTGAAAATTATGGCTATAAATAGAAACAAGAATCTAGCTACTTCAATTCCAACATTTTTATTAACTTAATGCAGACTTGTGTCGTTCTCTCTCTCGGCCCTGCTAAATCTCTCTCAAATCTTTTATTTGTAGGCAACATCATGTTAACACAGCAACTATTTCAATTTTTTGTAGAATCACCATGTATAATACAGCAACCATCTTTAAATCTGGCCGATGTCTTCATAATGGCTGGAGCAGGAGGCCCTCCAACCTGACATCGTCCAATCAGACGTCTGGCTTCTCCCATTGGTCTGGACGCACGCGCCCAGTATGGGCATATTTTCCGGGCCGGCACAAAATACGGGAGCAGACTTGTAGAAATATTTCTTCCTCCCCGTCGATGGCCGCACAAGCCATGTTCCGGACGGACCTGATGGACTGTAAACGAGTCGTAATAAAGCTCGGAAGCGCCGTCATAACCCGTGAAGACGAGTGTGGTTTGGCCCTCGGGAGACTGGCTTCTATCGTAGAACAGGTACAGAGGTGTAAATAATGACCCAAGTAAATTTTTCTTTACCAAGGAAATTTTGTAAAAAGAAAAATAAAATTGTCAAAAAGCAAGAAACACACATAGCACATGCAGCAAGAATAAATACTTTGATAAAAGATATATTTTACCCACTATTTTTTTTTTTTTTTTGAAATTGATGAACCAAATTTTTTCAGCAACTTATTTCCAATGGGGACAGCAAATGAAACATGGAAGATGTTTTGGGAAAAAACAGGAAAATGTTATACTGTACTATTAACAATGTGTCATGATATGTAGAACTGACATTTGTTCTTCCTTTTGAGATAATATCAATTGTAGGCGTGTTCTTTTTCCGTACTTATCTGAAAATATTTACAGTGAACTTAGTACGACTAGTTAGAACTGGGTTTTTCAAGGCCACCTGTAAAATTACTTCCATCAATTAATGGACAATATGCCATAAAGTACATATTAGTCGTACATTCAATATTTTATGTACTCAGATCTACCTTATAGTTTATACTGTTATTTACTTTTATATAGAGTGACAAAAACTTAAGCAACAAGCTAATTCAGAGAATTCGTGTCCCCCGCTTAGGGAAAAAGTCGGCTCCCTCTGACTGAATTTGTAGAATTATTAAATGTATACATGTATACTGAAGCAAATAAAATATATGTATGTCAATATGCATATAAAGATTTGATTGCTTATTCTTTATTATGTGTATAGAAGATTTTTTACATGGAATATTTATCACACTGTAATGATGATTTTATAACCTCATAAATTTTTCATTTCACATGCTGAATACTATCATTTAGTTAAAAAAAAAGTATTTAAAAAAAAAAAAAAAGAAAACTTCGACCGAGAATCGATCCCGGGACGTCTCACATATGAAGCGAGAGACATAACCACTAGACCACGGAGTCGCTTTACTCGGACTGAAGTATATGCAGAACTGAAGTCACATACATGTATATATTCATGTTTTCATGTTCGGTATTTTCAAAATTTTACACAATCCATGGTGTTTGATTTATTTAGCCTTTATTAAACAGTTCTAATAGATGTAATAAGAACATAAAGTCCGCCGAGAACCTGTTTTATACGCAATAACTCTCCTCATGCCCCTGCGCTAAAAATAGCGACATGTAATACTATAAATATGTATAAAACAAAACGGGGCATAGGGGCGAGAGACGTCCTAGGGAGTTTGGTATAAAATTACATTGATAACCTCAAAATCTTCTTGAAATATCGCCCGGAAATGATAATGTTACACACAGACAGAATGTATAAATTTACGACCTTGAACTTTGACCTTTTGACCTCAAAATCAATAGGGGTCTTCTTTAGGCCACAGGGAGTTGTTATGTAAAATTTCTTTGCTATATCAAAACAATATGCGTGTAAAACAAAGTGTTTTAACAGACCAGAATTTTATTTATGACCTTGACCTTTACCTTTTGACCTCAAAATCAATAGGGGTCTTCCTTAGTCCATAGGGAGTTGCTATGCTAAATTTCATTGCAAAAGCTCAAAGTTTAAGATACGTGTATACCAAATTAAAGCATTTTACAGACAGACAGAAAGACGGACGGACAAGACAAAAAAAACCCAAATTAATATCCCCCACTTTTCAAGCGGGGGACAATAAAATGTCTCTGTTAATGAAGAATTATCATTTAATTATCATGATTATGTGCCAGAGTTACATATTTTTCTCTGCAATGGCTGCAACCTTTAAATCTTGCATCAACGAATAAATTGTTGTAAAATATTTCATATGTACTTTGATATAAGGAATCATGGCTATAATGAAGTTATTATCTTCTCTCTGTCTTAAAACGTGTTTAAAATAATGATACATGTACTTTCTTTTTATGTTGGAAAAAAGAATTGGCTGTGTAATGAACAGAAAATTCATTCCCTTGAATTTCCTTATAAAGCAAATTTTATCAAATAGCAAAAATGGCATAAAACTAATTATCACTGCGGAGTATTAAAGCTAGATTATGCAATAACAATAATATACCACATATATATATGACATTTTTACATATATTGACATTTTCCATGTTTTTTTTTTTACAGGCCTGTGAATTACATGCCCTGAATAAGCAGGTGATAATGGTGACAAGCGGGGCTATTGCGTTCGGGAAACAGAAGTTACATCATGAGATGTTGATGTCCATGAGCATGAGACAAACGCTGAACACAGGCAAAGTAAGAACGCTGACGTCGACATATTAAATACGGCGTTTATAATGTGTTGCTACTCAGTTTTACATGTAATTCACATGCTACAGTGTTTAAGTGGAATGGGTGGTGATAAAAATTTACAACACATAGAAATAACCATTTCATTATATAAATCTAGTTAAAAAAACGTTTTTAAAAGCTTAAAAAAATATAACTACTGTAACAATAATTTTTTTTCTTTTGATATCCTTAACTGCTTTATGAATTTTTTTATATCATTTAATAAATACTTATACCTTTCCTTCCTTGAAATGATTTTTACTCTATTAATTTATCTGAGCCAAAAGCTCTAGCAGGAATTAACTTGTATGTATACTATATTTCTTTCAGCATTATGTGAGTATTATTACACCATTTTTACAATAGTTCAGAATGACCATTTAATCTACAAACTCTGAGCATTGTGTAAATGTTGTAAGTTTTTCATGAAGGAAATTTTAGCTTCAAGATGCCTCTTTGAAGGGAACCAAATCAGGCTTGAAACCACTGAAAATTTAGAACTTAAGTGACATTTAAGTGTCATTTAAGTTGAAGACAAGGTTTGCTTGGGCTTTGCTAGATAGATATTGCTTTGTGGAAGCTATATATCTATATATATTATATATGTAAGAATAATTATATTAAAAGATGTTTATATTTGTCAATTACAAGTGTCTTTGTTCTTCATGTTCAAGGAAGGTTTTGTAATATAAAAAAGTTTAGTTATACCCCAGATTATATATGACATTAGATATATAAATTTATAATTAAATATTTTCAAATAATTACAAAACAGCTAGATCAACAAAGTATGCATTGGTACATGTAGTTCACAGATTAGCCCCTCCCCTGGCATAACGCATGTATTGACTATATATCAGCGAATAATATACAGTTATATATAACCTTCAACAAATGTTTGTACACAGGCACCTTTGTTTTGTAGGCTAGATGAATCATTTATCACTAAAGGAATTTAATGCCAGATTTTGTCATTTTCCTGTACATAGCAACCAACTAATTTGACCTTTAAGTACTAGTACCGCAGTAAACAGGGAAGTTTTGCTGCACAATGCGATTAACTTGGTCTGAGCACTAGAGCAAAAACATGCACACTGGGCATACTTTGGTCATTTACACTCAAATACTTAAAAAATATTTATTAATAAATATCTTAGACCGGTCTATCTGGCATAAAGAGAGAATTCAAAGACTGAGGGGTCATACTGAATTCATTGTATACGTAAACACTTGTAAGGACATTCAATGAACTTAAGGTCCTTGACCCTCTGACAAGAGAGATAACTCTTCCCATGGAAATGTGACTCATTCCTAATTTATGAAGGCCATTTGATTTGTGTACAATTTTGGCATGCAAGTTGTGCTGAAATTGTGAATATTTTAAATTATAAATTAGATTTCTTTTTATCAAAAAACATTAGTGCAAAAGCAAATATTTTGGTGTAAACAGAGAAATGCTTTTATTATGATGTCAGTTTGATTAACATTTAATGAAATTTACAGTTACTAAGCTTAAGAAGAAATATTTAATTTCTTACTGTTACTTTTTTTTATTTCTGCTCCCCAAAAATCTATCCTTTAGATTTTTTTTATTTTGTGATGTTTGTGTTCACTCCAAGATGCTTATTGCAGTTGTAGCATTTCTTTCAGGCAGTTTCCAAAAATCTATAGGGTATTGGACAATTAATGTTACAGACAAACGTCTTGTTAGTTTATATCCTCTGAAATTTTTCATTGGCAAAATCTGTAACTGAACATACAAAGATTCATAATTACATTAAGTATAGTTGTAAACTACTGTAAGTAGTATAAACAGTAAGACACTCAGGTACACTGAATGCCATAAATATAATAAATGTGTCAATTTGGTTAATATTTCCATTTCTAATGATTTTTGATTGCATCTGATTGGATGAAAATTATAATTATGCATGTATTTAATGAATTAATTTGTTTGTCCCCAGCATTTCACTATAAGCATGTTTTTACTGTAATATGTTGAAGTGTGTTTTGGTGACATGTTAATCCCTCTAACTACATGTACCATCCAAATCCCATTGTTTTGTGTCAGCATGATGGGGACTCTAATTATACAAATGCACCTGCTTTTAATTATAATTCTTTAGTTGATAAAATATTTGATCCATTTGTAATCAATCTTTTTTTCAGCGCCAGGGATCGTTGATAGAGCCGCGAGCCTGTGCCGCTGTGGGACAGAGTGGTCTTATGTCTTTGTATGAAGCCATGTTTAACCAGTATGGAGTCAAAACTGCCCAGGTAAATTTCAGGAAAAATTATTTCATTAAAAAAAATATTTTCCTTGAGCGGAAAATTGGAGAGATGCAAATATACTGTGAAATATCATTTACATTAAATTTTCCAAAAATATATATTAAAATTTTGCAAAATTAATCATTTTCTTTGAAATTGTTTCTGTAAAAATATCTTGCCACATTCTTTTAAAAAAGCTAAAAATAATTTTCGATATAAAGTTAATTAAAAAGTTATATGAAGAATCAAATTTGGTCTTAAGTCGTAAGTCCTTTTGTAAAACGGGCCATAGTTTTCATCGGGGTTTAATTTTTTGCTGTTTTCGATGCAAGGAGAGACCCACTAATTTATCACCACCATGAAATGTAAAGTTTGATATACATAACTACTTAAACATTCTCCATCCTCGAAATCAAGTCCCCGCAAACCAAGATTTTTTCCTCAAACCTCCAAAATTTGACCACACGAAAATATGTGATTTTACAGTATTTGTCCTAAAAAATCAGTAATTGATTTTAGCAGTAAGTAATTTTAGCGATTTTATTTTATTGGGCCATCCTTAAAAAATTTATTTTTTGCGGTAACGCACCTCATCATTTTAGGTGTGAGTAGGTAGGTAGGCTTTTTTTTTTTTTTTTTTTTTTGAGACAAAATTTCAGAAATAAATTTCGATGATATATAGGTATTAAATATGTCTCAATTTTCATCTTACTTATCAAACAGGAAAATTAAAGCATTCTAAATGAATTCTATCTTTTATTGCTCAAATATCAGAACACATCAGTTCTTTTAAGGCAAACTTTTTCTTAAGAAGTGACTCTCATCAGCCACGTACCTCAAATAACTGACTCCACACTAATCTATTTGATATTTACGAGGTTTAGATTTTGATAGTTTATTAATTAGCTGTAAATCAGCAAAACGTGGAACACAATTTTGTGGCGATAAACATAATAACCATGTATCTGTAAGGTGGAACTGACGTACTATATTTTTTTTGCCTAGTAATTAAGATGTTTTTCCTTTATAATTTACTGTAACTGACAGAACCAATATTTTACAACCTTTCAGACGCCATTTAAATTTGTAGATCACAAAGACGTTTTAATAGTACTTCATCAAGCGGTGTAATGCGTAAAAAAAATATCAATCGGATAAAAACGGAAAATGGATACTAGAAAAAAAAAAAAGAAGATTTTGGGATAAAAAAAATCCAGTCGGGTGGATTTTGGTGAGGAGTCATATCGCAAAAAAACAATTTTTTAAGGATGGCCTTGTGTATATAAAGAGATAAAGATAACATCTAATGTGGAATAAAGTATTAACGATATATAATTAAAACAATCTCTTCAATCTCATAAAAAATGCTATATTGTCAAGCGAATACTTACCATAATATATGCTTATTGATTTTCATAATTGTTTGACTTTTAAAGTTAACTTGTTGCTCACAGCTTTGTTCCTTTAAACTGATTTTTCGTAGGTTCTGATCACGAAGCCGGATTTTTTCCACGAGGAGAGTTGTAGGAACCTGATGGGGACCCTGAGGGAACTGTTGGAGATATCTTCCTCAACACCAACGATTAGATTAAAAAATATACCAAATACAACAGTCATGTAGACTAGTTTGAATTCTTTTTATTCTTGATTATGTTCTTGTGATTTGCTGCAAGACTGTCTGCTTGCAATAAAAATACTCTCATACACATACATGTATTTGTATTATTATAGATTATGTACACCAATAATCAAAATCCCTTTCTTTCATATGAAATATATAGCAAATAACTATTATATGTAGTATCTTGTAAAATGTCTACTGTACAAACTAGGCAGGTCTAAACAGAAATCATGTACCGGTAAACACTTTATTTTTCAAAATTTTTTGATAAATGACAAATGCTGTAATACAGATTTTTTTAGCTTGAATATTCTTCTTTATTCAAGTACAATCAATACAAACATTTCAGGTAATTAGTCTGAAGGATAACGACAGTTTGGCGGCCCGCCTGGCTGTGGAGGTGAAGGCCGACCTGATGATTCTGATGTCGGACGTTGACGGTCTGTATACGGGACCCCCGGGGCAGGAGGGGTCACGACTCCTACACACCTACTGCCCAGAGGTTGACGAGACCGGCGTCATCTTTGGGGAGAAGTCACGGGTCGGACTAGGTGGTATGGAGTCCAAGGTACTGTAAATCAATTTTTATTTGTGAGAACTTTTATTTCACGTTATTACGAGAATCTGTCTGCTCACGAAAATTGTAAATATGTATTGGTAAGGATTATATAGAAGAAAAAACAATAGCTCACAAAAATTTTATCTCGCTTATAAATACCTTACAGATCGCTTGCGAAAATGTAGTGATCTACAGTACTGTTTTCAGTACTGATAGGAAATGGAAATTTTATTAAACAAATAATAAACAAGAAAATCTTGACACGTGACAATGATTGTTGGGCTGGCAGGAGGGGAGGGGTTGATGGAAGAAAAGCTGCCATCTTTTTAATTTTCTGTTCTTTCAGTCTGATACCTTTCTTTTTCTCTATCTAAATCCTCCCCATCATTCCAATGAGACTACATGTATATGTTCTTAAACGTGGAATTAATTAAGTCATTCTGAATTACCGGTAATTACTCTGTGTTCCCTTAAATGACATTTTATCGTGATTATTGTGTAGGTGAGAGCAGCATCCTGGGCATTAGAAAAAGGCACATCAGTCGTTATTTGTAATGGGCACGAGGATCGAGCTATTTATAACATTGTGACGGGCAAAAATGTGGGGACATTTTTCACCAGATCCAAAATGCAGAGTGCTCCAGTTGAACTCATGGCAATGCAGGGTAGGTTGATTCACTAATTTTTCCCCTCTCCTTGATCAGAATTATGAAGGTCATTCAAAGTTGAATGAAGGACAAGCTCAGTATAAACTTTTAAAAAACTAAATTGTTTAATGTAACACCTTTTGCTTAATATTGCATAAGTTATAACTTGTCTATCTAATAAATTCTTGTACATTGTAAAGCTAGAGCGAGGGAATAAAAATTGTTGTAAATCTGAATTCATTAATAGCCTGTTCATTGTGTGTTCTATCGTGTAAGAACTTCTATCGTGTAATAACTAATTTTTTCCCTTTTTAACATTTTTAATTTCTTTAAATATTAAGTTGAATTATTTACCCAATCTTTGAAATTTTGAAATTTTTAGCACGAGAGGGTGGCAGGGTGTTGCAGACACTGGCTCCACAACAGAAGCATCTGATTATAACCAAACTGGCAGATCTTCTGATCGAGAGACAGCGAGACATCCTGGACGCCAACAGTAAAGACATAGAGATAGCAAACAAGTCAGGTAAGGTCACAGAAAAATCAGTAAAGACATAGAGTTAGTAAACAAGTCAGGTAAAGACTCAGAAAAAAATTAGTAAAGACATAGAGAGAGTGAACAAGTCAGGTATTGGCACAGAAATTCAGTTAAGACGTAGAGATAGCAAACAAGTCAAGTAAGGATGCAGAAAAATCAGTAAAGACATAGAGACAGTGAACAAGTCAGGTACACAGAAAAATCAGTAAAGACATAGAGATAGCAAACAAGTCAGGTAACAGAAAAATCAGTAAAGACATAGAGAGTTAGTGAACAAGTCAGGTTTGGGTATAGAGAAATTAAAATTTATGTAAAAGAAGAAAGGCACAAAGCGACAAAATGAAACCCAACAATTCAGGTTAGGTCTCATCATTTGCATAAATTAAAATAGTATTGTATAAATTATAGCAAAGTCCCATGGAAAGATGCATAACAGATCAGGTAGGATCATAAAGATGTCAAAGACGTCAAATAAATTCACTTTGCTGACATCATAGAGACGTTATAGGGATGTCACAGTCAAAGGGGGCATTCAGACATCAAGTCGCATAAAGATACCCAACACATAAGGTATGAATGTAAATATGACAAAACAGACAGAGATATACACAGGTGCTCAAACACAAATCTCGGTGGTAGGAATGTGAAATTGCTCAAAAATTTAAGGAGGTTCTGAGAACTGACAGCATAGGGACATTGAGATGCTTAATCCAGTCATGGTTGGTATAGATTCAAAGAAATGCTAAGTAGGGGCATATTATAGGACTAAATAGATGGCCATGTTGAAGTTCAGAATTGGATAACAAAAAGGTCGTAGTAATTTCATGGAAATGATTTGCAAAGTAAAATATAGAGGCACATGTGGATAGTATATCTTGAAAACAAATCAGTCAATAAATTATGTCGTTCAATAGTACTGAACTTTGGAAAAAGAGCAAACAATATAATTTCAGTCTATTTTGATTTGTAGGCCTTGCACCATCCATGGTGTCTCGTCTTATTCTGAGTGAGAGGAAGCTACACACACTCCATGAAGGTCTGAAACAGATCGCCAACCAGAGCTCCAACATCGTAGGTCAGGTCATCAGGAGGACACTGCTAGCAGACGGCCTTGAACTCAAACAGGTCACGACCCCAATAGGTGTCCTTCTGGTGATCTTTGAGTCACGTCCAGACTGCCTACCCCAGGTGTGTGAAAAAGAAATATTCATTTTTGCAACATTTTTGTATGATTAAAATTTTTCTCACTATTGCTCTTTCAACTTGCTTCAGAGTGTTTTTACATTCAAATAAAGATTAAACTGTAAAACACTTTTTATTCGCGTAATTAGGCAAGACAATGAGCTCGCGAAAATTTCATGCTCGCATATAAAAGTGTTCCTTACGGTTAAATAGAGGAAAAACAACAAGTGAAAATTATGTCTCCCTAATGATTAGTCAATGACTATCTTGCGAAAATGAGGTGTGGCTAAAATTTAGTGATCTACAGTATTAAAATTTAGAGAAGATTAAACAGTAGTAATATTATGTTGTTAACAATATACTTTGATCTTTTATGAACACATTTTAGGTAACAGCATTATCAATTTCACAAGAATCTCTGACTTACCGTATATGTATCTTTTATGTTTGTTTTAGGTAGCAGCTCTATCCATCGCCAGTGGGAATGCTCTGCTTTTGAAGGGAGGGAAGGAAGCGTATCATAGCAACCAGATCCTCCATTCACTGGTACAGGAAGCTCTGGAACCATTTGTTCCTAGGGAAACCATTTCACTGGTAAGATTGTGTTGACCAATGTCTTTGTCATAATGTTTTGGGATTGGAAATTTGGGAATACTGCTTTGTGAGTTTGTTTGTTTACATGTACGAGGGTTGTCCCGTAAAATCGTGGACAAGTTGTCTAGTGTGAAAAATAAACATCACTGCGTTCTGAAATTTTCACTATTATTTAGTACATATTTTAGTAATATACACAGCAAATTTCAGATAAATATATGCATAAATAAACAAATTATCAGATTTTATGCCATGTATTGTATCACCTGTACGGCGCATGGATTATAACGTCAAAATGTCTAAAACAGCGTCACGTTTTATCTTTTCTGAAAAGGAAGTTTGATGAGTCCGACTTTAATTTAGGAATTTCATTGATACACATTCCATAAACAGCCGAAGAACCAATTGGCACCCTCATGCGATCTTCTGAAGATTTATTAGTAAGTTATGGACAATATTCTCACCATCATTCAACTAATAGAAAATCTCATATCGGCGGTCTACTGAGACAGCGTCTTTTGCTATTACATTAGGAGTTTGTCCGTAAGTTTTGTACTCCCCAAGGACTCGATAAAAAAAAAAAACTTCGCTAAGAAAACTCCTATTTCATTTGTATACTTAAGGTATAGCGATATTTTCATAATCTTTTTTCTTCTATGGTCATTTCAAGTCTCTAAAGGTGTCATTTCAACATCGAAATAAAACTGAACTGTTCTCCGGTGCGCCGTAACGTCATAAAACGTCGCCATTTTTGTGTGTTATGTTTACCACTTTCCTATTTCAAATACTCGAGAAACTGCCAAAAATTAAGCAAATGCCATAAAATTTTTACAAAGACTACAAAATTGATTGTGAAATTGAATTAGTATAATTTTAATTCAAATCTTATGCATTTAAAACTTTTATTTTGAATTCAAACTTGTGTATTCTTTAATAAAACCTTGGTTTTTTGACCGTGCGCCGTAGGACAATACCTCGTGCACATTCAAGCATAATAAAATCTTTATTTTTGCCTATATTTTATCAAAAAAATTATCATGCACTTAAATATGATAAATAAACATTTACTGAAATTTTCAGCTTAGTGCGCCCATTTCTTTTCGAGAAAAACGCTTTGTCTACGATTTTACGGGACAACCCTCGTACATCTTGAAATTTGAAGGAGAATTTAGATTTGTTCACTGAAGGTCACTCTCAAGAATTAATATGAGTTCAAGGTCATATTTAATCAAAGTACTGAGAGAAAAAAATTCCCTTTTTATGATGAGAAATTTAAAATGGATTTTTTATTTTAGATTAAAATGAAGGATAGTATTAATTTATAGTTACAGCTTTAAGACAAATCAAAGAAGACGTTTCCACATTTTCAAAAAATGTTATATTCATGGCAATACTGGGTATTGAGTTGTTGGTGTATTCATGAATTGGTGCTACACATGTCTGCACTGTATACTGAAATGTGATTTCTTGGTGGTATTCACAAATTAGGGCATTAATGTCTATGCAAAAGTCGCTATAATATGAAGCCCACTTTTGTAAGTAGTACACGTTACTACATTGTTCAGTGTTGATAATTCCTGTGTTGTAGGTGAGCACGCGTGAGCAGATCGAGTCTCTGCTGGAACTGAAGCAGTACATCGACCTGATTATTCCCCGCGGCTCTAACGAACTGGTCAGTATGATACAAAAGCTCAGCCAGGGCATTCCCGTCCTGGGACACAGCGAGGGCATATGTCATGTTTATATTGACCAGGATGTAGATGAGCAGATGGCACTCAACATTGGTAATGTTCTGTTTAATTTAATGAAATTTTTTTTTATCTTGACCTAAGAGTTTGACCCACTTTTTAAAACATTGAACCTGGGTCATAACTTTTGAAAAGTTAGAACTAAGCAAGTGAGTTAAGGCTAAATTTGGGCATTTCTATGCAAATGAGTTAATAAAATTGCACAAGTGAAATGTATATTTTATATACAGAGAAAGTACAAATTGATTTCTGTATTCATACTTAGTACCACAGCATATCAAAGCAAGTACACATTGTGACATCATATTATGATGTCATTGTTCTTTCCCATTAAAGGTAATAAAACACATCAAAAAAACATAATGGTGCAAGGGCATATCCTATGTAATGTAAAATAAATTCTGTAAAATATTAAGGAGAATATTCTAAAAAGTAATGAAATTTATGCACAAGTCCTTATATGCACTTTCTTAATCGATAAAAAAATGAGAAAACTTACCTCGGACTGAATTTTTACCCTGTTTCAACTTAAAACTGTACAAATAGTTACTAAACAATTGCAGTGTCGACATTTGTGCAGCAATATCTTAAATCCTCAAAATTTCCTGCGTCTCTTTATACCTCATTTCTGTAAAACAAAGTAAGGTATGCCCTTGCGCCGAAGCGATTTTGTTGATGTTCCTTGGAAACTTGTGTAGTAGAGGTTGATGACGTCATAATGTGTACCAGCTATCGCATGTTAAGGGTACCAAGAATGTATTAGAAAACAAATCTTAACTTTTTCTGTGTGGTACGTATAGCCCTTATGGGTTTTAATTAGATTTTTTGCATAGAAACCTCCATACATATAGCTTTAGCTCACTTGCGTAAGGCTTTCATATTTCACGTGTATTTCTTGTAACAAAGACCTTTTGATTAAATAGACTTAGACTTTAATTTATTTTTCTTGGTATGAGGGTTTAGGAATATTTATTGCTTTAATTATAATAAAGTTATTTTATAGTAAAATGATTTTTGAGGACAATTTATACTGCCTTTCAGTGCGGGACTCCAAGACTGACTACCCTGCCGCATGTAATGCCGTAGAAACCATTCTGGTCAACAAGGCACATCTAAGAACACCGTTTTTTGAGGATTTGTTTGATATGCTGAAATCTGAAGGGGTAGGTAGAAAATGGAAGCTCAGTAGTAAGGGTGCTTTAATGTGCAGTACCATATATAGGGTTGCTTTCTTACTTACACTGAACACTTTTAGAAGATTCTTTGTAAGAAGGACTATAGGATGTTATGTGTAACATGTACCAAACTATTCAAATTAAAATTAATTTTTTTTTCTCCAAATTCCTTTATTCTAATCTCTTCTTCAGAACTTGTGTAAGTTGAAATGATAACAAATTGTCAAATTTTATATAAAACTGTATTAAGGTTGGAAGTGCGATTCCAATGACATTTTATGTTCTTTTTGTTTTACAACAGGTCAAGATCTACTCTGGTCCCCGTTTGTCCTCTGCCCTGAAATTTGGCCCCCCACCAGCCCCCTCCCTACACACGGAGTACGGGGATTTGTCTGTCACCATAGAGTTAGTGGACGACGTACGAGACGCCATCCGTCACATCAACAAGTACAGCAGCAGTCACACGGACACCATAGTCACCAGTCATAGTGAGTGCTTCATCTAAATAACCCCCCCCCCCTCCCCCCCCCCCCCCGCACCAGTATACCTAGTAGTGAAATCTGTAGTGACCAGCCATAGTGAGTGGTCCATCTAGTTAAATCATAACCCCCCATCCCCCCCCCCCCCCCCCCCCCCCCCCCGCACCAGTATACCTAGTAGTGAAATCTGTAATGACCAGCCATAGTGAGTGGTCCATCCAGTTAAATCATAACAACCCCCCCCCCCCCACCCCCCATCACCCTTGTACACATTTCCCATGACACTACTTTAATAATGCTTTATGGTCTTCAACATTACCCATCCCACCCATTTTTTTTTTACAATAATTATATAGCTTTGTTTCCATGCATCTATGTGAATAAAGATATATATACGAGGAATATGTCTATGAGGTTCTCCATAGTCCATAGATGCTTTTAATTCTTGGTCAAAGATGACCATTTACAGGAATTGCTGGTGAAATTGTGATAGTAAATAACAGAAAAAAAAAATGTTCTCGTATTAGCATCACTATTTATTTAACACAGAAAACACAGCAGAGGTTTTTCTCAAGGGAGTAGACAGCGCCTGTGTGTTTCACAACACCAGTACAAGGTTTGCTGACGGCTACAGATTCGGTCTAGGTAAGTTATGTTTTTCAGTACTTCTGTAGAATTCCTTATTTCCAGGTGGTAGTACTTTACAATTTTCTGTAATAATTCATTTTAGGTATATATAGTGACAATCCAGGAAATGTGTCTCTTAATTTTCTTTCTGCAGATGGAACAGAAATTTAAAAAAAATGGAGCACATTGAAAACAGAAAGATTTTGCAGAATTATGAATTAAATTTATGTTAGAAGAGGGGTAACTCAGTCTGTTGAATTTTGAATTTATCTATTCACTGAAGTCAACGACAACTGGGGATGGAAATTAAGAGGAGGGATTAAACAGTGATTAAATAATATATATTTTTATATATTTTTTTTTCATAGGGGCTGAGGTTGGTATAAGTACCAGCAGAATACATGCCCGTGGCCCCGTAGGAGTGGAGGGACTACTCACCACTAAATGGCTCCTCCATGGCGGGGGGCATATAGTGGAGGACTTCACGAAAGGGAAAATGGAATTCCGACACGTATCTCTACCACTGTCCCAGGAACAAGCATCAGAGGAGGAAGAAAATGTAGAAAGGGAGGAGTAGAAATCTGGTTATTGGACTGTTTACAAAAATTGCAAACGGACGTGTATCGAATCAGTAGTTGTCATTAGATTTCTGATTAGAGAGTGAATGCTGTCTCATTGTGGGATTTCACAATAGAATTACGGTAGATTGCTGTCTCACATAAATAATTTGATGATCAGTGGGATTTTAAAGAAAATTTTCCACCAGTATGTCCATTTTTTACATTTTTGAAAAAAATGGAAGAATATTTTTTCAGGACACAATCTGTAATTTCTGATGATTCACAGTAACATGTTCTTGAAAATTATAATTGTCACCAACTTTTAATGAATTGTTAATGATGTCTGATTTTCATTTGAGGCACTTTATTTCTACATTAAGGTAATGGAAAGTTATTGCTAAATCTATATTTATTTAGTAAATAAGTTTGTTATAAAAGCAATATAACACATGCACTGCTCAGTTTGCCTTTTTTTTGTTCTGCTCATATACCATGAATGGGTGCACACCTACTTGTATATATTTTGATAAGTTCTTTTGTTTTACTACAATCACAAGTAATATGAAAAAAAAAATTAAATGTAGTTTTTAAGTCATAATATTTCTAGATCTGAGAAAACTTGTTTATCTATCAAGGGTGCCATATATTACTATTCTGTACTTACTCTTGTAAACAATTATATCACTGATCTGGGTGAAGTGTAGATCTGTTGCAAATGTTTCACTGATGTTTTTTGTTTGAATACATGTATGAATAAATTACAGTATTTTAGTATTTCGATCTTTAGAATGAATGTACAGTAACATTTCGAATCACAACATTGACATCTTGAATACAATTGATATATTGGAGTAAAGTCCCAACCATATATTATCCTTTATATACATGTACTTCAGTATTTTATCTCTGATCCCACTGAATTTAAAGATAATGAAGTTCACTATGCATACATGTATATGTATATATATTATACTTTCATGTAAATTACTTGAATCTGATTCGTCGAGAAACATTTGATAAGAAACAATACTACCCGCTGAATAATGAAGCCACGCCCTCCTGCGTAGCATCAGTCCACATTGCTTGACGACGGGTGGTATTACAAAAAATAGCGACTGCGCGGAATTTGTGCGCGCACGGTTCACTGTAATATGTATGTGTATAAAACATTCAGTATATTATAATAAATATTGCATGTAGTTGAAGGTAACATTGAAAATTTTCACCCTTCGAAAACCATTGTCAACCTCGGCTGCGCCTCGGTTGACAATGGTTTTCTTGGGGTGAAAATTTTCAATGTTACACTCAACTACATGCAATATTTATATATGAGCAGATGTTAAAAGGTATTGTCTCATGTTTCCACACGCTGAATCATTGTTTATTTTATATATCATCCTCACAAGGCCAGGGAACCTGAGTCAACACATTTCCATTAGACCCCTGGCATATTTCATTATATATTTTTGGGCTTGCTTCTCTCATTGAGAAGCACCAATCAAATTAAAGCTTTCATAAACAGTTGTATACAAAAAGGATTCAGCTGACACCTCAAATACATGTGCTATGTGTTGTTTATCATACAAAGGCCCAAATGTGATTGGTTGAGAGATGAGAAAAACATTCAAAATTTATAATTTTTCCAAATTCTGTCGCTTCAGTCAGCCTACAAATATTGAATGACATGTGCCAGGGGTCCAACGGCAATGTGTTCACTCCGTACCCCTGGCATGCGAGGATGTTTATACATTGGATATGTGTTAAAAGGTTGATAGGTCACATACCATATGCTTTATCATAAAACATTAATGTCTTGTGTACTATGATAATAAAAAATATTTTCTTATTTGTTCTTCAAATATCCTTTAAGGGAGCCCTAAACACTGACAATCAGGATAATTTAGGACTTTATAGAAATATATTTTATAACTGAGTTCATTAATGATTTTTTAAAAATATTTTCATACAAGGATGCCACCTTTTTTAATGAAATAAAAATGATAGAAATAAGGGAATATGTAGGAAAGTGAAAAAATGTTTATTTTTTACATAAATAATTTTCTCCAAAATTTCTCGAAGTCCTACATCATTGTTACATAAACCAACATACAAAAAAAATTAAATACATAGAATGACCCCAACAGTTCAGAAATATTTTGACATTTTATACAAAAGATTACAAAAAATGTAAGGATAATCACAGATATTTTTTGTATATATGGAATTTCTGAATTTTTCTACAAATTTAAATAAAGGTTTTGCCATTTGGTGTACAAAAATTCATATCTTACATGGTGGAGCCAGGTTTATAAGAGAGATAAAAAATAAAATAACATAACTTTACAATTATAAAAACAAAGGGAAGTAACTCTTTACAACTGACTTGACAAATACTTGGACACCGAGTTGATTATTTTCTTACACTTTGTAACTCTTGCTTTACCATTTACAATTTCTTGAAACAAGTGTTTTACTCCATCTTCACCATTTCTTGTGTGTGCTAGTTTAATATAATTCATATTCAAACCAGATTTTGCAATTTTATTTGCCATAAATTCTGTAATCACTTTTCCATGGACTAAGACGTCAAGAGATTTCAAATTGTCATTCTTTACTGAAGAAAACTTTAGATGCTGTAAAACATAATCGTACATGACACTTTGACTCAACAGAGTGTTGAAAGGAATGTTATGAAAGTTCACTAAATTTTGTAGGTCCATAGCATCAGTCAGAGCACAATGAGAAACCCCTGTTGACTGGATTCCTGCATCTCTCATAAGAGACTCCTGAGAAAAACTGCCAGTTTGTGTCTTTAAATCAGAATTTTTAAAAACCTCCAAAGTGTCGATAAAGCCGGCAATACATGTATTCATCACAATATTTTGTGACATAATGTTTTGAATAAATAATGGAAAGTCAAACCGTAATCCATTGTGGCTCACAAGAATGTTAGAATTCAAGTCCGATAGCCACTCTGAAAACTTTTGGAGTGCTGATTTCAAGTCTGTTGTTGCAAGTTTTTGATCCCTGTAGTAAAGTTCATGGTTTTTCATATGGAGACCAGTCACACAAGTTGCATTTGCAGATATTGTACCATTGGGTTTTATGTATTTTTGAAATATATCCTGTCCTCTTGCAGCTCCTATTTCCAATATTTCTGCTGATGAACCTATAAGACAAATCTGAGACAATGCATCTCTAGAAAAAAAAATGGATATATATATATCAATGTCTCATGGAAATACATGTGTATATATATCTGTATATAAAACTTTACCTAAACCTGTTGTTTCTAGGTCAAAGTAAACAAATGTGCTATCAGTATTTCTTAGTGGTATTCTCTCTGGTTCAACAGTGGCACTTGGAATGGAATTGATGTCCTGCTCCTCATCCATTTTCTCTAGTCCAACCGACGTTTCATATGTTTTTCCTTCACGCACTTCTTTACAACCCTGATCTTGACTTGAGGATTTCCTAATTTGGCATCTCCTTTTCTTGTACTCTGCAGTACTCTGTCTTATCTTCTGTAACTTTCTTTTTCTGTCCATCTTTTCAACCGCCTTTTCTGTATAGGCTCCAGGAGACATATTCAGTTCATCATTGACCTGTAAATATACATGTAAACATAATCATTATTCATTTACATGAAATGAGAATACATGTATATGGTTATTTTATATTGCATAATTTTTTCGATTATTCAAATATACTTACTTCTTGTATATAAGACTTTCCAATGTTTTTCTGTGCAACAGCTGCAGCGATTCTGAAACTTGTACTTTCTGATCCTGACAGAAAGAGGCTCTTTGGATTTTTTGATGCAACGATGTGATTAAAACTTTCGCATGCTTGTGTCGATCCAAGATCAGATAGTTTATCAGCTTGTTGTGCATACGTCTGAATAATGGCTTCCAAGTCCTTTTTCAACTCTGGACATGTTAGATACCTGCTGTATGGAAGATTCCGTGGAAGGTAACTTGCTGGATTCCGCTTATATTTACACCATGAAGGGCATGCCAGATGGTCTCCATACATATGAGGAATAATACACAATAAGGATTTTTTCAACTCCTCAGGTTTTTTCTGGTTCTGGGCAAGAACATAAGAAAAGCATTTCTTTAGATGTGTCATAGTTTTTCCTCTAAGTTGTTGATACTTTTTGAACCTTTGCAAATCATACAGTTTGTTTGAAAATGTTTTCTTCAGGTGATTTCTGTCACTGAATTTTGTAATACTTTGCTCACACTCTTTCCTTGCACGTGAAATTGTCGTACTGTCATCATCCATTACTAATTCATGTGGATGGATATGATCTTTTTCCAAGTCTTTCAACATCCCCACAATCATGTCAGGCTCCATAGCTTTGGCTGAGCCATCCCAATTCTTCCTGGAAATTAAAATATAAAAATAAGCATGTGAAAAATATAAATATTATACACTGTATTAATTAAACAATAAAATACTTTCTTTGTTTGTTATTACTGGAATGAACGAAAGCAGCTGTTGCAGAAAAAATACATAACCCGCTTACGCGGGTTATGTAAATTTTTTCTGCAATAGCTGCGACTGTTCATTCCAGTAATAACAAACAGAGAAAGACATTTTATTTTTTATATTTATATCTGTTTTAATAATCAATTAAAGTAGGATTAAAAAGATTAATTATTGTATTAATGATGCGATCGTCTTTATACGTTTCATTGATGGAACAGCCACTGATTAAGAAATCTGTACCAGCGACATGCCTATTGTAGTTTATGCAGTGATGAACGCAATGGGTTTTCTTCAGAAATAAAGGAGAAAATATTCAGTGGATGTAAATATTTTGCAGTGACCTTCAATCACTATTGATTTTTTCTTTACTTTACATATTTATTTTTATATATTATACATTTGATACTTATCAACTTTTTACCTGCAGTCATGGTCAATGGGCTGAATGCCTTTTCTTTTTGCATTTTCACAAAGTCTGCATTTTCTGCATCTATAATCATACCGCACTATTTTCCCAGATTTATCACCTATTAGTGAACTGTGACCTGTGGTTAAAAAAATAAAAAGAGATATATTCATAATCACCTCATAAATAAGTTTTATTTTCAAAAAGAAATATTTTTTTTTCAAAGTTTCTTCTTGAATGCATACCTGAATAGCTGTTATATTTCCTTCCACTAGATCTTGTTTGCCATCCAGCATCGGCCGCAACTCTTATTTCAACTTTCCTAAAAATATATAATAAAAAAACTACACTGTCATAGGAGAAATAAGAAAGACAAAAGGGTGTTGAGGTCATGACACTTGGTATATTTTTTTCATAAAATTTAATTCTATAAAATTTACCCATCATTCATTTTTATTTCTTCATCAAGAGCCTCATTGCAACTTTTTTTGGCAACAGATTCAATAGCCTTTCCTGCTTCTCTGTCTCTTTTCTTGACTGTTCCAGCCGCTACACCAGGGATATTCAATGAAGCAAATAACATTTGTAAATTAGAGAAACCTATTCCACTGCTGGTAATACCTACAAGACACAGAATGAATTGAAAATAAAATATTATTCACTGTCAAATATGCTGCATTATTAAATCATATTGCAAAGTTTTCTGAAATTACCTGCACCAAGCTTAGTGTTCACATCCCAAATGTTTTTTTCATGCCGCTTTCCAGTGGGTATGTTTGAAATAAAGCTGCATATAGTACACTACAAAATTAATGAAATATTTCATATGAATCGAGGCGATTACTTACAAACTTAAGTTCATTTATTATAAGTGTTTATATTGATGATGATGAATTTGACATTTACCTTTATGTACAAAATACTTCCAAGGCCATAATGCCTCTCTTGAAAACAATCACACAGATGTAATACAGTCCCACATTTCTTGCATCCTTTCTGTAGCTGGGCTGCTAGCACACCAAGTTCAACCACTCGACGACCCTTTGTATGATACATGTATTTGTTTGAAAGTAAAATTGATATAAAAAAAAATATCAATACATAAAATACCATTATAAGACAATGAAAACAGAAAAAGGAATTGATGAAAACTAAAGTTCATTTTTGCATTCTACATGTTTTAACATTCTATGTAAAATGTGTAGCTTGTAGAAAGCCTTGAAAAAAGAAAACTATTATTTTTGAAGTTGTTTTATAATATTGTCAAACATTTCACTTGTTTTACAAACCTATAAAATAACAGAGACCCTTTCAAAATAACTGTAATGTACTATTATTTTGCAGGAAAATTTTTTGGTGAAATATGACGTAGAAGCAATTGTTAAATATACATAATTTAATATCTATCAACAAAAACTTTTCCATACATTATTAACTTGATTAATTTGCCCTGCAAAAGAGTAGTAACACAGTCATTGTCTAAAGGACTCATGCCTCATATAAGGTTTACATTTAGAAATACCTCATGCCAGTCAAGTAGATTCTTTGAAACATCTGGGTGCAAAGTGTCTTCCTCATTAGTTTCGTCGGGCGGATCGTCGTTTCTATCGTCGCCTCTGTAATCTTCATCGGATGTATCTAATTCATCCTCGTCCTCTTCATCATATTCCGACCAACCCTCGTCAATGCTGGTACTCATAATATTTTTACCATGATTTGGGGGTCTTGAATAATCATGATCCATCCTTAACAAAATTTCGATAAATATAATAAAAACAAAATATACTATTACTTCTAAGGAAATGATGTTTTTTTGTTTTTTTTTCGAGTTTCCGAAAGCCGTTTTAGAATTAGAATGACTATCGTGCAGTTACCTGGAGACCTCTGTTTTTCTTTCAATTGCTTCAGATGTAGGAATTGGAACAGACTTTATTTTGGGGCGAAATCTTCCGCTTTTATACCGTTTTCTCAAACATGTCAAATTAGTGGACATGCTGTCTGTCATCTTCGTCACTCTTTTCCTACCTTTTTATCCTAAAGAGCGGAAAGGGGAGTAATTCATTTTATATTTTTAGAATATTAACGGAATTTTTTTTCCCGAATAAATACGAAGGGCGGATCACTCCAAGTTCCAAAAAATACCGAAGCTACCGGAAGACTCTTTAGGTAGTGCAGTGTTTAGAGCGTCCTTAAGCTATAAATAAAGTTTTGTGGTTAGTTTTTTGTTTAATTTAGTAACGGGAAAAATGCATATTTAATTTGAATTCTTTCTTAATTACTGTTATTTCAATTCTGACTTCCGTAATTAAAAGCTCAAGATTATTAATCAGACAAGTTGTCATTATATATATAATGCTATATAAATGAAAATGCAAATTTTTAAATCCAGATATGATAAGTGAAAAGACGCTGAAACAATGCAATAAGTTGATCCTCCAGGCAGCTCTTGTTCAATTAATGACAATCGGCTAATGGTACTTTGCGGAACGAAACGGAAAACGGAACCAGTTGTGGGGCACCCTAGGGGGGATATGAATATATTATATATGATAAAAAATATATTATAAAAGCTAATATAATAAGTTACTTTATGACAAATTATTCTGCCATTTTATATCTTGGGAAACCAACCAAAAAGAAGTGTCAAGTGTCTGAAGTAGAGGACCATGAAATAAAATGTCTATAAGTGATGAATTATTTTGTCGTTGAGTTTTTGATCTGCTGTGTCAAGTGTAGTGACTATGTGAACTGTTTTGAATGAGAGACGTACACCTATCATTAATGTAAAAAATTATTAATGCTTTTCCTTCAAAGCTTACTGTCAATAGCTTATTATCAAAAGAATATCCTTTATGTGCCGTCTAAACGTAAAGAGAGTTGTCGCGCTTTGCCAGTATGGTCATCTCTGGTTCCGTTTCGTTCCGCTAAATACCAATATCCGTGTGGGTATTAGTATTTAGCGAAACGGAACGAAACACAGTTAAGTTGGAATAAGATGATACACATACAAGCATTTTGTTGTTATTCATTTCATATCATCTTTTTATTTATTAAAAATTAAATTTAGGGGAAAAAATAAAATAGGAAGAATGTAATTCATCCATCATATATCCAGCATAATAAAAGGATTTTTGCAGAAGAAATTCATCCATCATATACTATCCAGCATAATAAAGCATATTTTTTACCTTTCAAACTTCTTCAAAAGTTTTGTCTTTATATCAGTTATGTATACAAATACAATCGCAGGCCTTGATGTTGATAGGAAAACGTAAATACCATCTACTAGTATCTTCAACTAAATTGATATGCAAAATAAGTTTAACATAGATCTTAAAACGCGTGATTTGCAATTTGCTGTATGCTAACAAATATGTTTACTACCTGAACCTTGATCGATATCTCAAATATTCAGTTCTGCGCTAATAAGAAAAGAAACACACACAACAGGTTCCGTTCCGTTTCGCAAAATACCATTATCCACTACAATATTAGTACTTTGCGAAACGAAACGGAACGGAACTACAATATCAAGGGTTTTAAAACTCTGTTAATGAACGACATGAGATTTTTTTTGCCCTGTAAGGATTTGAATTTAAAAAACACGCTCAGCAAGAAAATTAATTTGACCGGCGACAGTCCGAAAAATTCTTGTTTTCTTTACATACAGTCAAAGAAAAGTTTTTTTTAACTTTTCATTTCTGTAAGCATATTAAACACTATTTATGCTTTTAAACATTTAAACTTTTAAACACTATTTATATTAGAAAAGAAGAGGAAAGAAAAGTATTTCAAAATGATCAAATCTTGTTCCGTTCCGTTCCGCAAATTACCAATATCCACACGGGTATCGGTACTTTGCGGAACGAAACGGAACCACATCTTCTCATTTGAAGAGAAAAAAAAACAAGAACCAACCAAAAACAACATAAATCTGCCGTAGTATTCATAGGAATATTTCAAAATTATTTTACCTGATAGAACAAGTCATTTTTGATTAAAGAGATATATGACATTCACGTAACAACTTATTTCTTCATATATTTATTTCATTGTTACAATTTTGCTGAGGTTCGTTTAGTTCCGCTGATCATGAATACTAGTACTAATTTCTGTAGTGACTATGTGAACTGTATTGAATGAGAGACGTACACATATCACTGATGTAAAAAGTTATTGCTTTTCTTTCAAAGTTTATTGTCAATAGCTTATTCTCCTTCACCACAAAGTCACGTGGGTATCACGTGAGATATGCAAGCCTACTCCCAGATCAGTTGCGCGTTTATTCCCAGATCGAGCAGAAGTGTTTTTTCATTGGATGTGATTATTAATTGAATTTGGATATCTGAACAATGTCAGTGTTACAAAAACTTTCTGACGAGTTTGGAATTAGTACCTAAACCTTGAAATTGAGCAGTTTGCTCCGCCCACAAGAACTGCTTCTGATGATGGAATAATTAATACATTTAAATGCATTAGTACTTTTTGTCGCACATTTTGTCGACAATGCAGAATTTTCATACCTTATTTTTTTTCTAACATCAGTAATAATTCTCAACATTGAATGAGAGAGAGAGAGAGAGAAAGGGAGGGAGGGATAAATCAAACGTAAAAGATTTTTGTACTTTGTTTTAACAGTAATTGCTTGACAGTACGGGCTTATCTAAAATAAAAGTATAATATAATAGGTTCTAGGGCATTATTATCACACTGAAGCTGTCAACTGTGACCATTAAAATTTTTTGTTGGTTCATATGTTAGAAAAATGCGTGCTTATCGCAGAATTCTCCGTTATATACCAGAATTCTGTAATTTCTTGCAGACATGAAGACTTCAAGACAGTAGATTTATCGGTTTCACACGTTTGTTTTCTTGTTCTGTCTTTAATGCGATAACCCTTTACATTTCACCATTTTAATGGAATGCAGACATTTTATTTGAAAAATTGAAACTTATAAAAATTATATATAGTACATTCCTGGTAGTTAAATACATATTAAATCCAAACAAAAATTATGAATTGGACTAAAAACACATCAGATTTGTGTTTCTAACTGCATGATACTCTCCGCTTCAGAAAGATGGAATGGTTGCATTTTCGATAACATATAATGCGTATTAGAACACATGAATAGAAAAATACTTTGTCTCAAATTGAAAAGAAAATTATATTGGAAAGAGGGGAATATTTAAAAGTATTCCATGTCTGTGCGTGATTCAATCAAATAGTTCATTCCGGCAAGCTTGGATCTCCCTAAAATGTCGGAAAGGAAAATTGCGATAATCTAAGATGTGGTTCCGTTTCGTTCCGCAAAGTACCGATATCCGTGTGGATATTGGTAATTTGCGGAACGGAACGGAACAAGATTTGGTCATTTTGAAACAGTGTTTCTTTCCTCTTCTTTTCAAATATAAATGGTGTTTAACTTACAGAAAATGAAAAGTTAACAAAACTTTTTGTTTGATTGTATTTAAAAAAAAAGAATTTTTAGGACTGTCGTCAAAATAATTTTAATGCTGAGCATGATTTTCATTTCAATTCCTTACAGGACACAAAACTTATCTCACGTCGTTCATTAACAGAGTTTTAAAACTGTCACAGAGCAATCACCCAAGTTAATTAATTGTAAATGAGAGAGTTAGAAGTTCTGATAGGTTACAGGTGTGCGGCGCAGGCGTTGTAGCCCTGTATCCCAAGAGTGTGATTTTAGCTTGTTAGAGAGAAAGAGAGGGAGAATTATAATTTGTTTATTTGTCATTTCTGTTATCGATGTTTATTGTGCGTGATAGAGTTCTGAGAGATGAAAGTGAGCATTAGATTGATTTGTGTGAGAAAGTGGGCCCTGGGAACATGTGTGAGAGAGAGGAGTACAAGTCTGAAAGTCAATGAGTGTGGACGTGTCTTTTTATTGTGAACATTGTGATTTCTTATAGATATATCTTGTGTTGTAAATATGTAAATAAATGATGTAAATAAAAACAATCGTCATTATTAACCATTATTGAGGAACCCCGTCACAAAACCTTTGATATAATAGTTCCGTTCCGTTTCGCAAAGTACTAATATTGTAGTGGATAATGGTATTTTGCGAAACGGAACGGAACCTGTTGTGTGTGTTTCTTTTCTTATTAGCGCAGAACTGAATATTTAAGATATCGATCAAGATTCAGGTAGTAAACATATTTGTTAGCATACAGCAAATTGCAAATCACGCGTTTTAAGATCTACCTTTACATAATAATGTTAAACTTATTTTGCATATCGATTTAATTGAAGACAGAGAGATTGTATTTACAACAAGGCCTGCGATTGTATTTGTAAATATAACTGATATAAAGACTAGACTTGAAGAAGCTTGAAAGGTTAAAAAAAATATGCTTTATTATGCTGGATATATGATGGATGAATTATTTCCTCTTCAAACATCCTTGTCTCATATATTTCTTTCCCCTGAATTTATGATGATTGAAAGGATGGGATGAAATGAATAACAACAAAATGCTTGTATGTTTATCATCCCATTCCAACTTAACTGTGTTTCGTTCCGTTTCGCTAAATACTAATACCCACACGGATAATGGTATTTAGCGGAACGAAGCGGAACCAGAGATGACCATACTGGCAAAGCGCGACAACTCTCTTTTCCTTTAGACTGCACATGAACGACATTTTTTTCATAATAATCTATTGACAGTAAACTTTGAAGGCAAAGCATTAATAATATTTTATATCAGTGATAGGTGTACGTCTCTCATTAAAAACAGTTCACAAAGTCACTACAGAAATAATTAGTAGTATTCAGCGGAACTAAACAAATCTCAGCAAAACTAAAACACAATGGAATAAATATATGAAGAAATAAGTTGTTACATGAATGTCATATATTTTCCTTTAATTAAAAATAACTTGCAATTGTTCTATCAGGAAAAGTAATTTTGGAATATTCCGATTTACCCAGGATTCATCAAAGCTTAAAAATTGGCTGTTGAATACTATGGCAAATTTAGGTTGTTTTTGGTTGGTTCTTGTTTTTTCTCTTGAAATGAAGAGATGTGGTTCCGTTTCGTTCCGCAAATTACCGATACCCGTGTGGATATTGGTAATTTGCGGAACGGAACGGAACAACATTTGATCATTTTGAAACACTTTTTCTTGCCTCTTCTTTTCAAATATAAATGGTATTTAACTTACAGAAAATGAAAAGTTAACAAAACTTTTTGTTTAATTGTATTTAAAAAAAAAAAAGAATTTTTAGGACTGTCGTCAAAATAATTTCAATGCTGAGCATGATTTTCATTTCAATTCCTTACAGGACACAAAACTTATCTCACGTCGTTCATTAACAGAGTTTTAAAACCTTTGATATAATAGTTCCGTTCCGTTTCGCAAAGTACTAATATTGTAGTGGATAATGGTATTTTGCGAAACGGAACGGAACCTGTTGTGTGTGTTTCTTTTCTTATTAGCGCAGAACTGAATATTTAAGATATCGATCAAGGTTCAGGTAGTAAACATATTTGTTAGCATACAGCAAATTGCAAATCACGCGTTTTAAGATCTACCTTTACATAATAATAAAGTTAAACTTATTTTGCATATCGATTTAGTTGAAGACAGAGAGATGGTATTTACATTTTCCTATCAACATCAAGGCCTGCGATTGTATAAAGACAAGACTTTTGAAGAAGCTTGAAAGGTTAAAAAAAAAAGATATGCTTTATTATGCTGGATTTATGATGGATGATATACTTTCCTCTTCAAACATCCTTGTCTCTTATATTTCTTTCCCCCTGAAATTTTTATTATAAAAAAAGATGAGATGAAATGAAATACATAAAATGCTTGTATGTGTATCATCTTATTCCAACTTAACTGTGTTTCGTTCCGTTTCGCTAAATACTAATACCCACACGGATATTGGTATTTAGCGGAACGAAACGGAACCAGAGAATGACCATACTGGCAAAACGCGACAACTCTCTTTACCTTTAGACTGCACATGAACGACATTCTTTTCATCATAATCTATTGTCAGTAAACTTTGAAGGAAAAGCATTAATATTTTTTTTAAATCATTGATAGGTATACGTCTCTCATTCAAAACAGTTCACATAGTTACTACACATGACACAGCAGATCAAAAACTTAACGGCAGAATAATTCATAACTTATAGACATTTTATTTTATGGTCCTTTACTTCAGACACTTGACACTTTCTTTGGTTGGTTTCCTAAGATATAAAATGGCAGAATAATTTGTAATAAAGTAACTTATTATATTCATTTTCATTATATATAATATATTCATATTTATCCCCCCCCTAGGGTGCCCCACAACTGGTTCCGTTCCGTTCCGTTCCGTTTCGTTCCGCAAAGTACCATTAGCCTGACAATCCAAGTAATCTACCAAATGGACAAAGTCATGTTGACAATTTTTTTTTATAAGAAGACACCAAGGATACTAGTAATCAAAGAAAAAAAGTAGTTATTAAAAAGCAAGATTTATTATCAAGTGATCACAATAAATCATAAAATAGTCCAGTCCTCGAACTATTTCCTCTACCCAAATGTTTAGCAAGTTCTATTCGTTTCTGTAGAGAAATTAATGTTTGGGTATAAAATTACACTTTTTGCTATGTCAGTTCTGGAAAAAAAGAGAAAGTTTTGGATTCAGTAGTCAAGTTTGCAACCTGCAGATGATAACTAAAAGGAACTCGGATGAAATACAATATGTGCCAAGAATAAAATTATGCTATTGTCCTAGACCAGGGAGAATTTTACCTATACAGCATCGTATAATTGAATTTTTTATGCATCGTTGCTATGGAAGCAGTAGTTTAGACTTGTTTACATGTACAGCATTATGCTGAATTTTGTCTTCTGTACTTACTTAAAACCCTGCTGTATAGTTTTCTGAAATGATTCATCAAAATTACATCTGCCAAATGTAATGGTAATCTTGTATACATACATGTATCAATTTGCTAAATGTATGAACCGCTAAAAACGTCGACTGTACAGTAAAATCTTTATCCCAGATATATGGTAAAGCATGACCCACATAGACTTACTGGCTGCCTACGATAGGACCTCCCCCTCCAACTGAGTATTCATTGCCGTAAAAATGTAGCCCCAGGAGAATTTTCTGTCTGACCTCGGGGTTATCATCAGGGGCGAGGGCCAAAACACAGGACTCCATCCAAGATAACGGGCTGTTTGGTTATGATCTAAATCAAAGTACTCAGAAGTACTGAAAGCCGCGGGCTCATTTACAGGGTAATGAACAAAGACCGCAATGACAGTTTAAAAACAAGCTGATTCAGACATTGAAAAGATGATTATATATATCTATATATTTCATATATAGCATTAAAAAGCTTTAAAATTAATTAAAATGTAGCTAGAATTTAACAGCGTAAAATATTTGTCACATGTATCATTTCGGGGTTTTACATACCAACAGAAGTAAATAAACACTGATGCAGCAAGATTATTTAAGGTCAAACAATTATGCACAGATGGGTCCTCAGCGGGGAGTTTTGCATCAAAGCGTACATCAAGTCATTAATGGTGTTCCCCGCATTTGTATAAGCCTGATAGTACACCCTTTATTTATAGAATATGACGCAGACAGGGATACCTGATGAAAACCTTTCGCATATTTTAACCAAATGATTAATCATCGAAAACGATATAAAGTATTTTATTATGATAATTATTTTTGACAATTTCAGATAGCTATGAAAATAATTCAGTGTTTGTATTGCCTCAAAGGTGATTGCGCAGACGTACTATATTCTAACTCGTAAATTTAATTTGGCGGTGAAGAAGCAGCATTTTCTGTTGCTCACCGTCGCAATAGCCGGGCATTTCTCTACGAGAAATGAGCCCGGCTAAAAATGAGATATTGTTTAAGGCTATGTGCACGCAATAAAGTTTATATATTTATTTTTGTTAAAATTACAACATTATCATACAATGATTGAATAATTGTTAATGGAGCAATTATGAAGCAAAGAAGATTTTTGTCAACATTCTAATAATCTTTTAAGTGTGCTTGACAGATTAGATTAATTACCTAGATGTACCTAAAATTAACAATTACTTTTATATTACTGATAGTTGTGATAAAATACTTGACTATCGGTAAAATCCTTTAAGGACATACGTACGCAACGTACATGTACTAAAACTCTACAAATTAACTTTTCCATTGGTAATTTTCTTAGATAGGCCCATTTTCTCAATTTCATTCAAATCATTGTATCAAAGATATTCTTAGTGCATACGCAAAAATCAGCATACATTACCAGGAGTTTTGAACAGATATAAAATGAGAAAATCCTTGTATTTTTTAAAAGAAAAAATAACTTTATTAAGCATGATTTTAGTTTGTATTTCCTCAAAACTAATTTAGAGGAGGTGTGCAGCAGGGATAATAAAACAGCAAAAAGATCTTTTAACAACTTGAAATTAATCAGGGAACAATGAAATTAAGTTCAAAATTACATGTACGTTTCGTAGTCCTTAAATGATGCCTCTTGCAACATTATCTAGATGGATTGGAGAAAATATACGTCATCAAACTTAATGCATCCACAACAGGTAGCAGCTCATCAAAGTCTGATTTACCAAACATCCCTTCAACATTTCTGTAAATTTATATAAAAGAAAACCACAAATATTTTATTCATCAAACTTTTTTTCTTTCTTGCATCTAGGGGTTAAAACGCTCCGAAAACTGGGACTTAGATTTAGGCAAATTCTTGATAATAACTTGATAGTGTGCATCTACTTGAATCATTTCCTTGTTGATATGTTATCAGTTTTAAAGTCCAAATGTCCACGTACTTCAAAGTGTATTAGCTACCAACATTCAACTTCCTTCACAAATCCACAATGAAGGTAGCCACCTTGTAACAAACATGGCAGATAGTAAACCAAAACATTCTCTGGGCTCTCCGCTCTTGTGAATCCCACGATTTACCTATTGATGTTGTATGTGAGGACTGTGATAAATTCATTTGTGCCAAGTGTGCCCAAACAGATCATAGAGATCATGATTGGAACTCTATCCACAGCAGCCACCCAAAGGAGGAGAGGTCTGAATAAATTTCTGAGGAAGATCAAGGAAGAAGATCTGCCTGGGATAGATGAGAAGATGGAGAAGATTCCACAGCAGATCAGAGAAAATAAAGAACTGCGTGACTCTGAGATTAAAAAGCTTCAGAAGCATTGTGATGAGATAATGGCCAGGCTATTTGAAATCAGGAAACATACTGAACATATGTTGAGAGACCATTCAGAGGAAAAAAATGAAAAATTGAAAATTAAAAAATCTGAAATGAACAAAAAGAAGAAAGAAGTTAAACAGATTGCTACGTTCATGGAAGAAAACAACAGCACCATGTCTGATTACAGCTTGATTTACAACCACAGAGAACTGACACAAATGTTATCTGCCCTGGATATTGATATAGAGGACTGTAATCATTCATTGAGATACGAGAAAGGAAAAATCAGTGATGAGGTATTACAGAATATGATAGGGAAAACTCGGGATTTAACTAGTACCAGTTTGATTGAAACAAACTCATTTAAATATGGAGATAATATGATACTTTTATTGGAGTCATTAATGTGTGAAGATTTTTGCTACATAAGAGATCTAAAGTCACCTTACACCGAACAAGTAAACAAAGAAGGTGAAATATATCATAGATATAATATTGCCGCTAATGACATGTGTGTGGCAGATAACGGTGATGTTTTTTTCACTGACTTAAGTAACCATTTCATCAGCTGTCTGACACCATCATTATCTATCTCTACAGTCATCAGTACAGATACACTGGTACCAAGAGGAATCTGTCAGTCAGTGGACGAGGGACTTCTGGTTACATTATTAGACTAGAGGTACTGTGAGCGATGAGCTCACTAAATGATACCCCCCGCCTCCCATATCGTTATAACTGGTGAAAAAGTCAATGTTTTCCTGTGGCCGGGAAACCCAAAATATGTGCCGGATCAAAAAGTAAAATAGGAGGTGCACAATGGCAATATGTAATAAAGATTCTGTGAAAGTTTCATCAAATTTCATTCAGTGGTATAAGAGGAGTTGCGGATAAGAGATGGGTACCCCAAAGCGTAACGGACGGACGGACAGACGGACGGAATTAACGATTACTATATACCCTCCCGCTTTTCAAGCGGGGGGTATAATGAGGAATCTGACCCCTACACATTAGAGATACACAGCAGACGTCTGATAAGGCACATCACAGTGACAGGTGACGTCATCCATGAGTATGAGTACCAGGAGGACGGTCAGACCAGACTGTTTACATTGCCAGGCAGAGTCACACAAAACAGTAACTGTGATATTTGAGTACTGAACCGTACAAGTCTCTTTACAGATGAACTAATCATTATGTCGTCCTCCGGTCGTAAGAAGTCTGTCTACCGTGGACAGAACCTAACAAAGGACTTTGGTCCAGCTGATGTAGTATGTGACTCCTCTGTAACATCCTTGTTACTGACCTTAACAACAAACAGATCCATATACTGAGTCCTGATGGGGGTTTCTGAAGTTCTTACTGACAGACAATGAAGTGAACCGTCCAGTCAGATTATCACTATACAAGTCTTCACTGTGGGTGGCATACCAAGAAGGAATTGTCAAAGTGTTTCAGTACACAATGTGAAATGTATAGTACAAGAAGTACCGGGTATATGGAGATAACGAACAGTATTCAATATCAAAGTCCATAAAACAATACAAAATAGGAGCAGAGGTGGGATCAGATGCCATGGAGGAGTGAGCATCCCCTGCTGACCGGTCACATCCGTTGTGTGCTCCTTGTCATGATCGGGAAATAACGGAAAATCTGTCGTCAAAGAACTTATTCTGTAAAAACACCAATCTGGATGCAGTTTATATTTGTTTCAGATACTTATCTGATGTTTCTTTTTTTCAATTACATGTATATATGAGTTACATTTTTTTGTATACCATTACAACAATGCACAATGCATGTACAGTAAAACTTCGAATCTAAAACATATCACAGGATTTTTATCTCAAATTTCACCACCCGCGGAATCATTGAAAATCTTATACAATTGGTTGATATTTCATATGACACATCCTGAATCAAGATAAAAAGTACTTTAATAATAAATATATTTGTATACCCCCCCCCCCCACTTGAAAAGTGGGAGGGTATATAGTAATCGGTATTACCGTCTGTCCCTCCGTCTGTACGTCCGTCCGTCCTTCCGTCTGTTACGCTTTAGGGTACCCGTCTCTTATCCGCAACTCCTCTCATACCACTGAAGGGAATTTAATGAAACTTTCACAGGTTCTTAATGACATATTGCCATTGTGCACCTCCTATTTTACTTTTTGATCTGACATACATTTTTGATTTTCCAGAGCAAAACATGGACACTGCCATTATATTCCTATGGGAGGCGGGGGGTATCATTTAGTGAACTCATTGCTCACAGTACCTCTAATTTATTTATTGTTCAAATATCCTCATCATAGGCGCATATTTGTATTTGTTATAGCCCCCCCCCTCTTGAAAAGCGGGAGGGTATATAGTAATCGTTATGTCTGTCCGTCCGTCTGTACCTCTAGCTGTCTGTTCGTCCGGCCGTCCATCTCTTTTGGGGTACACATCTCTTATCCGCAACTCCTCCCATACCACAGAATGAAATTTGATGAAACTTTCTCAGAATCTTTCTTACATATTGCCATTATGCACTTCTTATTTTATTTTTCGATCCGACACACATTTTGAGTTTCCCACAACAAAAGATGGACAATCCTAATTTATTCATATGGGAGGCGGGGGTATCATTTAGTGAGCTCATTGCTCACAGTACCTTTTATTTTCTCATGTTTCTTACAAATAAGCTGCCATTCAAAAAATGAAATTCGATCATACCACATAAAATGAATAATGTAAAACTGTAAATCAAGATACCAAGGTAGAAATAACACTTAATCAGTCTAGAATAATGCAATGTGATCTTGGCAGCTCTAGCTCTATCGATGACCGAGTCTTCTACCAAAAGGATCCGCCGAAATATGTCTGAAAACTTGCCGTCTCGGTGTCAAACAATGTGCAACTAATCAATCTACCAAAAGGACACAATCATTTTTAAAAAGACACTGAATATAGATCAAAGAAAATATTAACAAAACACCACAAGCTAGAGA